CTGTCTCGGACATCTATTAGATCATTTTAGGAGGAATCTTTCTTTCCGTACATATTTTTTGGGTATTTTGAACCGTTTTCGCTCCGCACGAAACGGACACTGTCAAAGATGAATAATTCTCCCCGTGTGTTCTATATTTCCCACTGTTCTTGGATCCTATTGGTTACCACGTGATGTTTTATAGCCTAAAGTCTTCGATAAATAAAAATACTTATTTTTCACATGTATTGATAATTTCAACACTTGTCCGTCTTTATAACGTTTAACTTCTTTTGAGAGTGTAATCGTAAAGTCGATAGAAACTCGATTCATTCTATTGTACCGGCAAATAATAAGGTCAACTCGAATATCAATTGAAACACATGGTACCCCAGGGCGGTCCGCCCTGCGGCAGTCTTGAACGGGTCGTGGCGCGCGCGGGACACTCTCCAAGTTCATACGTCTGTTTATTTCAAAAATCGAACGTGATTTGAAAAGTGAATTCCAAATTTGTGCTTTTTTAAAACAGCCTGTAATAATAAAAATAGTCTCGTAATCCATTCTTCGATATATAAGCCAACCTTTGGAATAAGGCAATAAAATTTTCTTTAATAATAATATTTAAGGTTCTCAAATTTAATTTATATAGACTAGTCTCACAACCCGACAAAAGTCTTAATGAAGTCTCGTATCGTTTCTGATTTTCTATCAAAAAGCAACAGTTTTAATAGCTTCGCTAAATAGATTTTATTGCTATATTTGCATAATAAAATACTAATAGACATCAGTGATGCTCGACTAATATTTTATAGCTGTCGATAAAATAATCGATTCCTTTTTGTTCAAATTTGTTATTAACTTCTTGATTGTATTTTATGGCAAACAAACACACTTTAGTAACGATCTTATAACAAAAAGCTAAATGGTATTTAGTGAAATTTTAAATGGTCGGTGGATTCCAGTAAGCACACTGGCTGGTGATTTAAAAGCGTAGCCAGTTGTAAAGCCAGTAAAATTGTACAATGAGATTTTGTATATAATTTGAATATTCTTAGGTTTCGCTTGTGATGTGAAATTATTATTTTTGGTCATATATTTCGATATAACAAAAAGTTCTTAGCATGATACTGATCATAAAATCCTTCTAGCATCATACCTCTTAATTTGTGCTGTGATATAAAATTACTTTATGTGAAGTGTATATTGTGATCACATTTCATTTTATCGATAAGAAAGCAGAAATATTTATCGATAACTGTAACTACAACACTGGCGGTGGCGTACGTAGACTTATCCAGCGTGATTGAGGTGCAGGTGGGTAAAAAAGTCACATTACTAATTAATAAATTAGTTCTCAGTTACATTTTTTTAATTATTTACTAATCCTTCTGTCTATATCTATGTTTTACTAATTAAAAAGACATAGGCAAGAAAAAATCTAAAGTTCTTAATTCAAAACATCTCTCGAAACTGTAAAATTAGAATGTCTGACGCAAACCTTAAATATCAAATGATAAATCAAATGAAAATTTGCATATTTTTTGTCGAAACCATTAACACCTGGCCACAGATAACGGCATATTATGAATTAAGTGTTTTGCACGTTCCTTATGACTTTGTGATTCACTTGCTTTACCTAATTAATAAGTTATCGTATACACAACAGAGCATTTTCATATTTTTTTAAAGAGTATAAAAAGCGAGGCATCTATTTTTTGTTATTTAAATTGAAAATATTTAATAACTTTGATTTAGTATTGACTTGTGTCGAAAAATATTACATCTATATGAATATATAACTATTAGGATATACATAATTGCGATCGTTACTATGTTTTACCTGTTGTTTAGCTTTACTGTAGTTACATATGTTTAACAGTATCATTATGGAATGCAAAGTTAGATGTTAAACTCCCAAAGTTAAAACATTAATCATGTACATTAATAAGCAATCACTCTGACATCATTATTTTATTACAACTGACATCACTAACGAATCTTCGTGGCCCACATCATATGTTAATGAGATATACATATCGATCAATTTATGTTGCATTGTTAGACGCTATTACGCATTCCACTATTGATTGATAGACATTGGTATAACAGTAAATTCGAATATCGATATCGATAAATGGTTTTTCGCTTCACTAATGGCAGTGCAATAACATGATTGAGTATACTCTTTACAATTTTCTTTTCATGTTAGTTATAAGTTATATTTCACATTAAAAGGGTACATTAAATTTATTACTTACTTATTGTATTCGTTCTTATGGGAAATATCTTAATTATAGCCATATATGAGACTACTGAGGCACAGTAGCCTAATAACAAAGAACATGATTTTCCATAAGGAGGAAAATAAAAATGTGCAATTAACTTAGGCGAACTATTATTTTTGTAAACATAATCTAACCGTTTTAGGTTACTGTGCTCTTGTGGATAACATAGACTATTACAATATAAATAACTCAAGTCAAAAAATTATAGTTAGGCTACTCTGCCGCAAGCGGCTTCATGTATTATATTGTAACTCTTTTAGTTTCTGTACGCAATACCAAGACTTTCTAGTTACCGTTATCTTTAATTATATCAATTTTACAATTGAATCCATTGCAATACAAAGCTAAGGATCTATAATAATTTTCTTCAGAATAAATTAAAGTCATTGATATCACATATTTTATTTCCCAATCGATATATTATTTTTAATTGAGTACATCACTACATAATGCTATAATCTAGGCCGAATATGTCTCGTAATTATTTTTTAATTGCATAAAAAAATTGAAATGTCAATAACTTACGACCAGTTCTAGTTTTCACCACATCCGGTGACCGCCGTCTAGGTTATTTCAAAATTGGATCATACATATCTCATTATGCGTTATTCGTTTAAACACCTTTAATTTAAAATATTGATGTAATTGAAAGTAGAAATATTAAAATTGAAATTGGAACTGATGGAAATCAATTATTTGAATTTGCCATGAGGTTAAATTCTTACGTGATCATGGATGTTAAGTATTCGAAGCGTCGGGTGACTAAAAAAACCTATACTTTTCGCGTTGCTAACCGTAAAAATTGTTTAGAAATGATTTAAATACTGTCTATAGTTTACGCGAGTAGTACACATTTAAATAAAACACTTTAACGGCTTAAAACGCGATATATTAGTCTCCCCGTGACCACGGCTGCTGCAAAGCATCCGAAACGTCGGGCCGAAGTTAAAAATCATTGTCAAATAAGTTATACATACTTACTAATATATCGCGTTTTAAACCGTTAAAGTGTTTTATTTAAATAGAATTGATTTCTTTTTGTATTCGTTCTATCATTTTCTTTTATTTCGGAAGAGTGATCTAACTAATTTAATTAACAAAACCACAATAAAAATATGATTAGGTCACTTTGTAAACATAATATCAAAGTAATTCGATGTTCGCGTGTTTCACGTCTCATTTGTATGCCATATAATTGAATATTACCTAGTCGTAGGTATATCATTAGAAGGTATGATAAAGTTTGTATCTTTTTTACTGATTACTTAAATGTACAGGCGTATATATGATCAGACTTCTGTATTCTAATCAAAACTTGTCTCCCGCGATTCAAGCCTAGGTTCCCTTAGACTTACCTTAGACAATTTTAAATGCGTTTTTACTAAGATATTATATTTTAAAGCCACTTTGTATAAGAGCATATATAAACATTTCTTACCTCAAACAAAAAAAATAAAGTATTTGAAAGACTTAATTTATTTAATTAATGTAATTAAATTAAAGGTTAACTCGTGCAATGTAACAACTTTCTATTTGTAATTTTTGACTTCGTCCTGAAATCTGGATATTTCATGTGTCGTACGATTTGGAGAATTCGAATGCATCACAAACCATCGTCCACAGATGAAAATCGAAAAAGTTATAGTCTGTGGATTTCTATATATCCAAAACCAAAATATGTCGGCAGCGTTTTTTATTGAGATCTTACGACGGGCTATTTCGCTTTCCATCGAGTGAACTAGATACTTTTACTAATTTTAATATTTAAAAAGTCAGTTTTATCTGTCAATCAACTTAGTTTCTTCAAGAGTTTGATCTGCAATTATTATCCACGCTTATACAATTAATAGGCAATTAAGCAGACGTTGATTTGTTAATTACGTTAATTATTGGTACGATACCAATCTATGAGTTAGCGTTGAACGCGTCAGTTAGGTTAGGTTTTGTTATACTAATTTAAATTACTGAAACTGAAAATTTATATACTTAATGTGAGAGCTTAATATCCCAAAAGTAGTTGTTTTTTACAAAGAACAGACAATCCCGGGGTTCTAGACAAGATCCGCTACACACACCACAGGCTACAACTGAAACGTAAACTTAACGGTATTTTCATTAGTAAACAGTGGTTCATGACCAGGGTGGGATTTTGATTTTCTTACAATCTCCAGTCGGCCAGTTTCGCCAAATACCAACTACGATGAACCAGATGGCGCTTGCTTAGCAGTTTTTTTACTATGAAATTATAGACTTTAGTCTCCCATGATATCGGCTGCTGCGAAGCAACCAAAACATCGTTAAACTAATTTGTAAATTAGATTTAGTAATATATTTCGTGTTTAGAACCGTTACAGGTGTTGTATTAAAAAAACAACTGTATTGCAGCTACAAGCACTAAAATTAGTGTCGTCACTTGTCATTTTCTTTGCTATCTATTCCTATTCCGCGCTTTAAACCGTTAAAGTGTTTTATTTAAATGAAACCGCATCTGACCTCACTTATTTAAAAATCGATTATAAATTGGAAAAATTTACGACTTGGGCAGGATTTAAACCGATATCCATAGCATTGTATGCTGTTGCTCTAACCAATTGAACTACGAAGTCCTACATGTCATCGTCGAATTTCTCGCACAATATTTGTTTTTAATTTAGAATCTATTTTTATTTTATATAGTTCCACTAAGTGCAACAACATGTGAAAAATAGTAATATTTTTAATCTGTAATTGTTACAGGAGCGCCTCGGCGGTGGCGGGCTAGGGCTCGCGGGGGGCGGGTTCCGTGGTGGAGGGCAGCCTTCCCTCGCGGACTTCCAGCCACCTTACTTCCCGCCGCCGTTTGCCCCTTCTGCCCATCCAGCAACACCTCATCAACAACAGGTAATTAACTCTATAAACTCAAACCCCCTTTTTCCCCCCGTGGGGCATGTTTAGAACACATTTCTGCTTTTTGACGTGACAACGTCCTATAATTCGATGGAGCCAGCTGCACGCACGAAAACATGACTCATGCGGCGTTACCTCGCTCTGAGGCGTTCCATGTAAAACTTGAAGTGCAAGCGAGAGCGCGGAACGAGCGACAAAGACGCACAATCGGCCTTTTTGTTCGTTTCGACATAATTGTATTTATGCGTACAAATAAATCTAACTTGATCGATTTCATTGTGATTTCCAATTACCTCTTTCTCTATATACATACAAATCTATTAAACAAATAAAATTAAAATGTTCTTTTGAAAAATGCTACCATTCCATCAGTATTTTCTTAAGACGTTGTCACGTTCAACTATCGTCAGTAAACTGACTTTAGAGACTACCAACCAATTTTTACGATATAAGATGACAAACAATCATGTAGTTCATTCGTTGGTAGGTGAAAAAGCCCCAGCTGTATAATATCTAAACAAGATCTGCTGTAGACCTATTTTGGCTTTGGATATTCGGAAATTCGCAGAATGAAACCGAAACGTGTTTAAACTTGACGGCTTTTTCATATATTGAGCGTGATTCACGAATTACGGACGGAATTTCGATATTCCTACCACCAATTCAATATCCAGATTTCCAGTTGCAATTCGATATATTTTAGATAAATTATAAATTGATTTGGAAAATGTTGGACGCGGTGGTGATCGAACCCACGACTCCTTTATTTTGCCATTCATTGCTATATAACTTAAAAATCGTCAATAAATTGAAAAAAATATACCGAGTCAGTCGGTAGCTCAATTTGTAGAGCAACAGCACGGAACGCTGACGATGAGGAACGGTCCAAGTCCAGCCTTAGTCGAAAATTTTTTCAATTTATTTTCAATTATTAAATTATATAGTGCGTTCATGTGCAATAACATGTGAAAAATATTAATGTTCTCAAACATTCATTGCTACTAGTAGACCAACGAGCACGTCAAATCCCTGTGTCCGTTTCACTATTAAATCGTTCAGGTGACTCCAATCTACAATAAACATTTAACATACTACAATAGGGTCATGGCATGGAATACGGCAGCAGTGGTGGTGGGGAATATGGCCAACACTATGCCCCCCAGCAGCTGTTACCACGACACCATGGTCACCACGAGCCACATGGTCACTTGCGGCATCATCGCGATCACCATGATATTCACTCGCACCACGTAAGTTTTATGTTTGGTGTATAAACTATGGAAATAAGACAATGTAATAAAGGTTCCAGTCATGGAAAAAAATATAGAGAATTTAGATCAGACAAGGCAAGTCAAATAAACTTTTTGTCGTCAACAATTTAATACATGTAAATTAATATTTCAAGATATGTACTTACTGAGCCAGCGACTTCGTCTGCGTAGAAAACTTATTTTTGGCGTCAAAATTTATTTTATAGCCTGATCTTTATAAATTATATATATGTTACTTACGACGTCAATCGCGCCCCGTCGTTCTAGCAATTTAATCTTAAAAGATAAACTAAAAAGAAAGAAAATAAGTGATATACCTGCGTTCGCGGACATTTTCTTATTAATTTAAAGAGACATCATTCTTTCATATTATCTTACATATTTTTGGGTATCTTGAATATTTCCCGTATTTCCCATATTTTCCCACTGTTTCTTTTCTCCTCTCGGTCGCAGCATGATGTTTTACAGATAACCTAAAGCCTTCCTCAATAAGTGCTCTAACAAAAATAATTTTTCAATTCTATCTGCTTTGTGTTGGTTAAAACACAAAGCAGCTTTATATTATTAGTATAGATAATACTGTCTGAATTATTCACAACACACAAGTTGTTGACTGTATTTCCAGAGATAATATTGTAGCCCAAATAACTAAGAGTAAAATCAATAGGAAATTACAAGACTGCACCAAGAATGTACCCCTGTGCGCGTCTCGAGAAATCTTTGAATAGTTTCTGATCCCTCGCTAGATGATACCGAATTATGTTATTAAAATATCTTAAACAACAACTTATATGAAACTTATACTATACTGTATGTTAGGTATAGGTTGAATATTTCTACTCGCCATACGTTAACAAGAAAAACATATAGAGATACAGTTAACAAGTCATTTTACCCGACAACGAAGCCGAACTGCTATACGGTATACACAAAGACATTTCTTAAATATTTTGTACTAGCTGTGTCAGCGACATCGTCCGCGAGAATCGTTATTTTGGGCATCCAAATTTGTTTTTGCAAACTACTTCATCTTTATAAGCTTAAGCTGTTATCCACGACGTCGTCGCGCGTCCACGCGTCCCTTCCTGTTGTTCTTGCAAGTTAATCTTAAAAGAGAGTCATATAGCGTCGCGGTTTTTTTTAGATTATTTAAAGAGAAAACATTTTTTGGATATCTTTAACCCTTTTTGCAGCGTACGCCTCGCAAACCAAATTGAATAATTTTTCCCAATTTTGTTCACATTTTTCACTGTATCTTCGCTTGTATTATTTTTATAGCCTAAAATCTTCCTCGATAAATGCTCTAACAAAAATAATTTTTCAATTCACACTAGTAATTCCTGAGATTAGCGTGTTCAAACAAAGAAACAAACAGTTCAGCTTTATAATATTATTTTATTTAGTTTATTATTAAAAAATCTACTCGTTTCATATTGCCGCCATAAAATTATCTTTACTAAGGAACAGATTATATTATTTTTAAAAGATGTTTATTTTGTAATTTCAAACATTGAAAATTGTTAAAGTATTTTCTGGACCACAGAATAGGCAATAACTGCGAGAGTCACTTAGCTCGATTAGATCCTAATGTCCCATACCCCTTGTCAAAGATACAATGCCCCAACATTTGGCGGCAGCGAGGTTTTATTGTTGGAATACCATTTGTGTCTTCGGTGAAACTGATATTTTTGATTTATTGAAACATCTCCTTTTTTGCGAATAGCTTTTAAGAGATATTTAATGTTTGTTGCGTTTTAAGTTTAAACTATCTATTTAAGTGAGTTACGGATAAGGCATTCTGTGTGCCACATTTGTTTCTACTGTAGTGTAAATTCTTAAACGACGAAAGTTTGAGGTTTTGAATTCGACACATATATGTATGTTTTGAATGATGGGTACATTTTTATGGAGTAGTGCGATTGTTAACAGAGCAGCACGGAACGCTGACGATGCCGGTTCAAGTCCCGCCCGAGTCGAAATTTTTTTCAATTTATTTTCGATTTTTAAATTAGAACTGTTTAATATAAGTGTAAAACGAGTTAATTTTCCTTCTGAATTCTTTTAAATACTTACCCAAGGTATAGATTTTTTTACTTTATGACTTTACGTCTTGTATATAGTTTTTGTTAACTGTTTATATTCCTTTGGCAGTTGTCACATGGAGGCTTCAGCTACAGCGGCAGCGATAGAAGGTCAGACTACGGAGTACGGGAACAGCATGAATTGGCGCTTCATCATGCACTACACTCCACGGACGAAACTCAGGTGCGCATGAGTTGCGATATAAGACTGTTACAATTACTCTGTAAAACGTAATATAATATTATATTTTATAATATCCATACAAGGTGTATGGGTATTATAAAATATAATATTAATTAATAAAGTAATATTGGGAAAAAGATAGAAAAAAAAGAATAACTCTTTATTAAGACGTAAAAAGTAATTTATTGTTTATTACAATAGACGTTTTACTTATGTCTACTACTACGGTCAATATGTTACACGTTTAAAACAGTTTGAATATTTTTTCTATTCTATACCTACTTCTATTTCTTCTTTCTTTCTATTAATGGCATCTAATCATTAAATCGATCACACAATTTCTTGTTATTAAGTATACCAAATAACACGTCATTTGGCTGTTTATGTTTGTCATCACTAATCAAAGAGAAGCCGTCTTGTTGTCTTAATAAGTTCTTGATGTTTAAATACCAATTTTGGACTAACAATACAACAATATTTGCACTAAATAGAGGAAATTACATAAACACCCTTAACGGTTTATAACCCCATTGCTATGGCAAAGCATTCGAAACGTCAGGCCGTAGGTAAAATAATTTGTAAAGTTCTGAAAATAATACATTTCGCGTTTTAAACCGTTAAAGGTGTTTTATTTAAATATGTACTACTTGTGTAAACTACAGATAGTATTTATTATGAAAGGTAATTTTATAAAAACTACGAGATTTTCCTTTGTTTTGTAAAAAAAAACTATAATTATATAGTACCCAGAATCATTCGGCTAATTTCGTACAAAGTACCCTTCTTGACCGCTCCCACACAATAATAATGTGATACAAGAATTTAATAAGCTGGGTAAATTAAAACCCCGCTCTGGTATGGAATGCCCCAGAAAATTCCACAAATATTTTATATTTATTAACTTCTAACAAGGATTCGTCTATCAGCCATTTTTACGGCTACGTACGTATCTATAAGGAGTATTTTTAAATTAGAGACTTGTTATCATATTTTTTATTTCTTAAGCCAAGCCAATTTAATTTTTAACATTCGATGTTTATTCTAGAATGCTGGCATGGACGACACAACTGGATTTATGACTGACTTACCTTTGTTAAAATGTAAGTAATTTAATTGTATTTAGTTTTAAGTATTTTTCAGCCATGTATATTATTTGGCTGTAAGAACCAAATAAACAATAAATAAATATTAGTAATTACTACGTTTGAAAGAACTAAATTTTTTCAACCATAGATAAATAGACTTTTTTTATTATTATTCACTTTATTAGTTAAACAACGTACTTGAAATTTTTACAGTGGAAATAATTTATTAATTTCAAATTAAATCTGACGCAAATTTGATAGTAGGCACGCAATTTAAATTCCGCCGTGTAACAAGCACATGTTATTAACTTATCAAATATTTTGTTATACTTAGATGACCTCACAGATAAAACTGTAATTAGGTTCCGTACAATTGCTATCGGATACGTGTATCGATTATTTTCGATCGAACAACCGAATAAAGCGATATCGAATAGGCAATCGATCATCTGCAATTTGAAAAGCGGATGCGGAAATGAGATGCTTTTATCGCCTCTATTAATCGAACAGTGTTTGAAGTGAAATTTCTAATTTCGAATTATAATTGACAAGATCCTTTAATTTCGTCACAAGTAATCCTAAGTATCGAGTGTTTCTTAATTACGGAAATATTATAAATAATATAGGAATGTTAATAAATAACGTATTTTTAAAAATGCTGTTCGTAAAATAAATAATTGCCAGCTAATATCAAAAGCTCACGGTGTTAAATAGTCAGCGTGGTGCCTATACTAATGACATAGTAATGTTTATTGTATTAGGGTTACCATATGAAATATTACAATGTGAATGGCAATCACGCTGCGAGCTTGTTTGGGGCGTGGTTGAATTCGTAAGAGCCATTGTTAGTATTTTACACCAGGGATTCGGTAATCACCCGTATTTTTTAAATTCAATATGCACTGTGAAATATATAAATTGGTAATGTAATTGCAAGTGCCTATTGACAAAGAAGAAGTTCGGAATTTTATTTAACGAAATGTAGGCACTATAAATACTCTACTTTAAAAATGATTTCAAATTGCTTATTGTATCTGGGAATAAGGTTAGGTAGATTATACGCAGTTAATTTTCATTTATATGACTTTATTTGCCTAAGAAGGTAGACTTTGTGTTCTTTCCAACAAAAATAAGTAAGATACAGAAACACACTAACGCCGAAAAAGCTACATTGTCGTTCCAGGCTTATTCTACTATTTGTTCCCAACGACCTAAATTCATCAAGAAATCTTGGTTAAAAAATAAATAAACATGTTTAAATTAGATGCTCCAATTTCGAGGACTGTTAACTTGTGTTAATGTTAGTATCTGTTTGTAATTTTTTAAATTTTTATGTTATAAAATTAAAAAAGTTATATGGCATCTCACCAGAGTCTTTTCCCACTCTTTAAGACAAACACCTTACAAGGATAGTGCCTCTCATTTCAAAATAATGACCATTGACAATAGGTTTAGTATGGCTGACCATTTCTCCACAAAATTCTGAATAACTTTGTAGACAGTCCTTTCCTTTTATCAAGAAATAATTTTAGGGTTCTAGGTAGTACTCCCGTTTTCCCATTAAACCTTTTGCCGTTCCATTTTTTCGAACCGTTCTTGGCTCTTCTTCTGACAAATATTTACAAATGTACACAAATATTCCTCTCACTTAGACTCTTTCCATTTATCGTATTACCGGTTTCGTTGGCAGCCCAAACTTACTGTAGAAAAAACTTAATAAGAATGCAAAGAAAATTAAGAAATGTATTTTTAGTTAAATAATTGTACCTTAACTGTAAGAATGTCTCAATCTGTTTAGACTGTAATTTATTAATACTGTACCTTATATTTAAAGAAATAAATGATACCCTTTTTTAAAAGAAATAAATAAATAAGTAATTGAATGTCCACCTAACGTTATACTTTACTATCCAGCAATGAAAGGACGCGACGGCCTCAGCACTGGTTCCTGTGCCCCAAACGACGTCTTCTGTTCGGTGCCAGGTCGGCTGTCTCTTCTCTCTTCTACGAGTAAATACAAAGTGACAGTTGCTGAGGTTCAACGGAGGCTGTCACCGCCCGAATGTTTAAACGCGTCCTTGTTGGGGGGTGTTTTGAGAAGGTAAGTTATACTTGTTAATGAAGTCTTATCAGACGTATCCTCATACTAATCTTAATTTCCGATTACGCTTAAGAAAATAACCTTACATACATGTTTAAAAAATCTCGTTTAATTGCAAAAAGATTTATTATTTCAATAAAGCCTGTCAGTAAGTTATCTACAAACAAAATCACATTTAGTGCTATTAATCCCGATCCGAGTGGGATAGACTAGATATAGATTCAAGATGTTTTGTGCCCGACTGAATTTACGAATCGAATATAAGATATAGTAAACCTAACGTATTTTATTATATGTATATATAATCTTATTCTTCAAATATTTAATATATTAAATATTATTAGTAATTATAATATCACACCACACACAGAATCGATACATCGATAATCGTTCATGATCGATACTATTCTAGGTTCAATCGATTTTTCTAATAAAGTTAATAAATAGGCTTTAAATTACCTTGTGGAGATTTTTTTGTTGCCTGACTGTACATAACAGTTAAATTAAACCTCTCACCGTGGCTACCGGGTCATTTTAATATTTTTTTGCGCTGGTAACATTGTTCAACTTGCGGTGTTTGATTTTGATTCGAACCGATCGGTGTGTTTTGTGGTCAGAATGTTTTAGTCTGTGGTTACGTATTGTGTTTGTTGAAAGAAAGTAAATGTAGATTAGAAAGCAAAGATTTATTAGTATCGGCTAATAATAATATAGACATACAAGTGCATTTTAATAGTAGTAACCTAACTTCTCTTAAATTTACTTTAATACTAAATACTGTCTATAGTTTACGCGAGTAGTACACATTTAAATAAAATACTTTAACGGTTTCAAACGCGATATATTAGTTCAACTTATTTAAAAATGTATTTTAAGGGGAAGTCTGTCTCCCCGTGACCACGGCTGCTGCAAAGCATCCGAAACGTCGGGCTGAAGTTAAAAATAATTTTCAAATAAGTTTAACTAAGATATCGCGTTTTAAATCGTTAAAGTGTTTTATTTAAAAATACTTTGATACTTCCAATATTAGGCTTGTACACTGAGACAAACAATTGATTTAACGTTTATTCGCTGTTAATAACATATATAAACATTTTTGTAATATAAATTTCAACAAAATGTATTAAATTCTCGTTCATATGACCGATATAAGTCTGTATTTACTTTTTATGATAGTGGAAGACAGACAAGTAGCTTCCACTTGCTGGAAGGTGAAGTCATGTAACATATCAACAACATGTATTATCGACCTATTTTTTGGCTTTGAATATTTGAAAAGATTTAATTGATGATTAATGATGGATGGCTTTTTCATCTGTAGACTTTTCGCCATACACATTATTAAAAGTCTACAAAAATTATCTAAAACCTTAAATAAATAACTCGAATCAACCGTCCCATGTTTCATATCTTATTTATATGCAAATTAAACTTCAAACCGCCGGACTGATACGCGTAACGTAATTCGGTATTAATTGAAATCAAAGTTTTACGGCGTAATTGTTACGAGCAACCCGGAATTTGGTAATTGCTACCTACTAGATAATCGACCGAAAATTATTCTCCAGCTTACTCGTGGCTCAGAAGCGTTGAAGACACGTGTAACTTCGATTTGTAGTTCTATATTGTGTTGCCAGATTAAGAAAGTACCGTCGATAATTGTAATAGATTTTTAAATTAAAAAAAATGCATTTATTAAGAAAACTTTTCATATTACAGTATAAAACGAGAAAAAAAAAACAATTACTTTATCTTTAGCTTTAAATCGATCCAATTCCGTACATTAACTGACAATTTGGTATCGTAATTATTCGCAAGCGTTGCGCACGCGCCGGTTTTTATCGGCCAATCAGTAGCTAATTTAAATCGCCGAACCGTCTGCTCATGTTCTTTGATTCGGCGTCCAATTATTCCTGAGAAGGAAACTAATTTACTTTAACGAAAATTATATTTTATTGCATTTATGTCCCTTTTATAAGTAATCAAAAATTATATATTCACTATTTTGACGTAAGCTAGATTTTAAGCTTTATAAGAAGTGTCTTATTCTCCGCAGACGAAGTAGCTGGCATAGCTAGTGAGCTATGCCAGCTACTTCGTCTGCGGAAGTAGTCATTTTGTCGTTTTCATAAATTAATTATGTTACTCGTGGGTAACATCGTCCGCGTCCCGTCGTTCTTGCAAGTTAAAATAGACAATCAAGCAATCTTAAAAGATAGACAAACTATCGCGGACATTTTATAGATCATTATTAGGTATTTTAAACCGTTTTCGCATCGCACGCAACGGAGATCCACGCAGGTGAACAATTTTCTCCGTTCTTCGTCACTTCCATCTTTTTCTTCGCTACTATAGTTACAAACTAGTAGTTCCTGTGACTAACGCGTTGAAACAAACAAGCTCTTCAGCTTTATAAAGGCAGTACAGATCTGTATGCATTATTACAATAAACATTTTTTTAGAAGATTTAGGCCACTTTATCTTGGCCATTATGGCTTATATTTTGAGAATAATATTTCTGTATCATATGTTACACAGCGCTGTAGGTACGAGTACGTAGTTTTGTATATACAATATAGCGTAGTAGTGTGTATGTGCCGTATTCCTTTCGAATCGAACTTTATTAAAAGCTTTATCAATCAAAATTGTGTACGCATATTGATTTCAATAATAATGGTGAAGTACCGGTTCTTGTATTTCCAAATTATTTTGCTGTTGTAACATTCATACCGATTGTAACGTGTGTAATTAATCAAAATAATAAATTGTTCTGTTTCTGAATGTCTGTATTAATAATCATTTTATGTAGTACTCTTTAGGAGATTCTCTATTTACAATTAAATACTGTCTATAGCTTACGCGATGCGGGATATATCGCGTTTTAAACCGTTAAAGTGTTTTATTTAAATATTTACACTTAATTAAAAACATTTTACTATGTATGTTTGTTGAGGGGCGAACACGTTACTGTGTCTGTCTTACCGATCGGATCTTTGGCAGGAGTAGTTGATTTATTATTCTGTGCCCTGCGCAATCAAACTATCCATTCTTTCCATGCCATTCGAACCCAGGTCCTCTTGCGCTTAACGCGTGTTACCTACGTTTAGCCATTTGGATACAGAGGCGGTCAAACATGTAGGTAATTATACTTTTATTGTTGTATACATACTTATAGAGAATAATTTACTCTTAATTACACAGTCAAATAGTTATTTATATTCTAAATTTCATTAAAATTCTTATCAGCCGGTTCATAGCATAAAATCTATTGATAATCCAATTTACACCTTATTACCTGTGAATAACCCTTTTTATAGGCCATCTACAGATTTTATATACACTTTCTACGCGTCAATCAATTTGGCGGTAATTGATATATTATCTGTGACTCAATCTTATGAGCAGTAGCGAAGTCACGTCAGAGAATCGAACAAGTTTCCGGCCTTGATAAAAAGAGTTGCGCTACATTTTTCAATACTGTTTAATTGTAAAGTATTGTATTTTTTATCCGGTCTAATGGCTTTTTAGATAAAAACAAAAAAATAGTGGCGTTTTTTTTCTTTTTAATTTATTCAAATTAGGAACGCTTCCAAAACCATTGTCTAACTGTGAATATGTATTAATTTATGTTTTTGTTTCAGAGCAAAAAGCAAAAATGGCGGCCGGTTACTAAGGGAAAAATTAGAAAAAATTGGCCTCAACCTACCCGCGGGGAGACGGAAAGCCGCGAACGTAACACTGCTTACTTCCTTAGTAGAAGGTAACTTATGATAGCTGTTATTTATATTAATATCCATCAGGTGAACAGCTTACTTTAACAGTGTTTGACGGGCTCGGCGGTGTAATGATAGTTTGCCAGTCTTACTGGCATGGAGTAAAATGAGACTCGGAGTGGTTTTCTTTAATATAATAAGGTGCAGGCTGATATACAGAAATGGTGAAGGCGAATACGTGAGTAGTTGTATAAATAGTCAAAATGCTACTACGTGTATTACAAAACAAGAGAATATGCTTACTCAACTAAGTGGCTACAATAGCAATGTATGAGTAATAATCAACGAGTCTTGGGTTCGATCCCCAGCAGGTCCAACATGTGTCTCATCAATTTTTAGTTTTTCTGAAACATGTTAGACTTTGTATAAAAATCTAGAAATGAGTGGTAGGAATATCGAAAATTCCGGCCAGGTCATGAACCACCGTCCACAGATGAAAGCCGTGAAATTGATTGAATTGAAGTGATCGGTTTCAGTTTGTGGATTTCCGAATATCCAAAGCCAAAATAGGTCGACCGCGCATCTCGTTTAGATGTTATATGGCTGGGGTATTTTGCCTGAAGTGAACCACGTGCTTGTCTGTTCTCTATTATATATATATATATATATATATATATATATATATATAGATATGACTGCCTCGTCGGTGAAGTAGTTCAGGGTTCCGTAAAGAGCATGTTAAATGTTAATCCGTGGGTGTCAATTGTCATTACATATTTTTAGCCAATTCACGGTTCTATAAAGTCTTAAAAAAATCTATAACTATTTGCAGCGGAAGCAGTGCACTTAGCCCGTGACTTCGGCTACGTATGTGAAACCGAATTTCCTGCGCGAGCGCTTGCCGAATATCTAGCAAGACAATACGCTGAACATGACGCAAGACGGCGGCGGGATCTCTTGCAAGCCACGAAACAGGTACACGTTTTATTATTAAAACTCAACATGATATCTATACTAATATTACAAAGTAAGTATGTAAATAAAGAATTGTGGAAACAACGAGAAAAATTACTAATCCTAGAGGGTTTCCCTTGCATGCGCGGCGAAAACGGTTCAAAATACTCATATAAATGTATGAATAATCTAAAAAAAATCCGTAATAGTATAGATCTTGCTTTTAATATTTACTCATAAGAACCGTTTTATGGGAATCAAATTTCGTCGAAATTTATACTTATATTAGAAAGCTGAATAATTTGTTTGTTTGAACACGCTAATCTCAGGAACTACCGATTCGAATTGAAAAATTATTTGGTTAGAGCATTTATTGAGGAAGGCTTTATATATAGGCTATAAAACATCGCCCTGTGACTATTACAAGCGAAGATACAGCAAAAAATGTGAAAAAAAAGTTTCCGAGGCGTACGCTGCAAAAACGGTTCAAGTTACCCCAAAAACATGTACGAAAGAATGATTTCTCTTTAAATTATCATAAAAAAAGTCCGCAACGCTATATTTCTATCTTTTAAGATTAACTTGCAAGAACAACGAAATGCGTCCGACGTCGTGGGTAACAGTTTGAGTTTACAAAGATGAACGGGTTTGCAAAAACGAATTTGGATGCCCAAAATAAATATTATTAGCGGTAACGTAGTTAAAAGATAAAGTTTACGCTCACAATTTGTCCTTTATTATCATAAAGAATTGTCGAAACAAGAGTTAAGAATAGCAGTCTTATAGGTGTGTATTAATTTCCAGGTGGTAAAAGAAGTAATGGATCTCCTGAATCAGGATAGATCGCCACTTTGCAATACGCGACCGCCACACCTGCTCGAGCCAGCGATACAGCGACACCTAACGCATTTCTCGCTAATATCGCATGGCTTTGGTGGACCAGCGATCGTGGCTGCACTCACTGCCATACAGGTAATAAAATAGACTTTATTTTAATCACTAAAATGAAAAAAAAAACGAAAGGAACGACTCCTAAGATACAATAATTAAACAATACAGAGAGTTAGTCTAAGTTTACACTATTTTAATATTTACGAGTACTTATAAATTTATTTATCCACATATGGATGCTAGCTAGCTAGTAGAATGGTTAGTTTCAAGTTAATGATAACATTTTTTTTTGTCTTCTAATCTTTAACTTTATTACAGAATTTCCTGAACGAGTCGTTAAAGCATTTAGACAAATTGTACCCTCAAAGCGGTATGGTGTCTTCGTCGTTAGATAAGACTAAAATGGATCCGGACATCAAGAAGTAGCAGTGTAACGTCATTTGACATAAACAAAGATTTCTTAAATTGGCAACTTTTTTATAATTTTTAATATTAAGAGATACTTACAGATTACACATACAAATTAATTAAACTAACAAAAGATGTCTTTTTTTATGCATGTAAACTATTTCTAGGATGCAAAATGAGATAAAGAAAATATGGCAACACAGTTAACTTACACTAATTACTTTTGACCGTGTATAGTATCGAAGCCGGTCTAAAACTAAGTGTATCAAATACAAACGATTTTTAATCGACCTTTTTATTTGTCAACACAAGTGAGACGCCGTATAAATTATTTTAAATCCCGCATACAAATAAAGTGCAATTATACAAATACTCAAGATTGTGAGAAATATGTAAATATAGAGCGTGAAGGTAGTTTTAAATTAAGCGTTTTACGATAATGCCCGTTTTGTATTCTCTTCAAAGACAGTATTTTAATAACAGAGAGCCATCGCAATAAGTACACATATCAAAATGAATTGTATATAATAATAATTATAATGTAAGATTAAAACACGCATATTTCACATTCAGGGTCGATTGTTCAAAGCGCCATCTTTTATCGGAGGAAGAGTTTGGACTTCAGAACCACAGACAATATTAAAACGTTGCTTTCCTCTGTTAAAACTGGACAATGGAAAAATGAGCCCTCAGTCAATTTAATTTAAACATTGGAACCTCCTTAGTTTGTAATTAGACATAGTTTTGCTAGATTCATTGTGAACGTGTGCCAATTAGTTTTAAAATGAAATGCCTCTAATATTAGTATTATTTTTTAATTGAAAATCTTGTTTATCGTGATGAATTTTAATTAATTGAACCGTTAATAAACCTATTTATATCGAAAATAACTTATTAAATTTAAAATAATTGACATGACTTCGGAAACAAACTGTGTAACTTGCTCAAACAATAATTATTTATTATTATTGTATGATATTGTTTTTTACATCATGTGCCAAGAATTTACTAAAAATACGTAATCTTAATTTATCTTTTTTGTATTCCGTTTTAATTTTAGGTTATTGTGAGACAGTTTTATGTAAATATGTATGTTATATAAAATATTTAAATTAAACAAAATGTATGAATTCATGTTGTTTCAATCGTGGAGATCTTTTTACTAAGGTATGCGTTCATTTTTACTAAGGGACTATGCCTGACCCAGAGAGCTTTGTCGTTTCTTTCCTGGAAAATGTGGGCACAATATGTTTACTGTGCCCACATTTTCCGCGTCTATTCTCCACTTCTGCCTTTTCTGTATGTTTTGTCAAAAATCCTTTACTTTTGTATGAGATCATTATTGGCAAAGATCATTGACATGTTCTTGTCATTTACTTTACCTATGCTAGCATGACCTATGTCCATGATGTTTCCTCTTCATAGGTTTGCGCTTTTTTAACCTGAACCACGTTTCCGTGGATTTCCTTTTTATTTCCAGATGAAGTGATCTAGAAATAAAAAGCCACGAAAACTCTTGCCACTTGGCATTAGTCCAAGGATGATCTCAAGCGCCGCTGTTGGGGTCGTCCTCATTGCACCCGTGATTATCAATGCTGCCAATCTCTGCACTTTGTCTAGTTCTGTTTTATTGGACTTTAGCGAGGCCTTACGCCACAACACTACTGCACCATGGGTGATTCTGGGTAATATTATCGCCCTGTATATCCAGGCCACAACATTTGGCTTTAGCCCCCATGTTCGACCTAAAGCACTTTTGCATTGTAACATTGCGGCTTTTGTGCAACTGCTTCTGATATGAGAGCTGAAACTTAGTTTGCTATCCAGTGTTACGCCAAGATACTTTATCTCTCTTACTAGTTCAAGTTCTGAGTTATCTATACGAACTGGTTCTCTATTTACTAGCTTCCTTTTGTTCGTAAAAAGTACTAATTTGGTTTTATCAGGATTAAGATTCAGACCCTTACTCCTGCACCATTTAACTATTTCCCTTAGTCCTTTATTCATGATCGGACATATAGTACCAAGGACCTTTCCTGTCACCATTATCGCTCCGTCATCTGAATAGACTTGTGTGTACATATGCTCACATATGTCACACCTTACTCATACCTAACACATAGTACCTATATACGTTTAAAATAAAATTATGTTTTTAGAAATAATAATGAAAGAGACTAATTGGCTATTGTTAAAATGAAATACTCCTCAAAGCTAATTTTCCAATAATTTTACTCGTAAGGCAGCAGTTTTTGTTGCCAATAACCAATTTCTAGTCTACTCACATCACTATTTTATGGTTTATAGTAATTGTAAACGACCGATATGTATAAACACAATATTTTCAAATGTTTATAAAGGGGCGGCAAAATAAAATAAAATTTATTTAATTATTAAAATAAAATACTTGACTTTTAAAGATTAAGCAGCGAATCTTTTACTTTTGACTCGACGTTCGACAGAGGCTTATAATTATCATATTACTGAATACAACTTCTAAACAATTTTTTTTTTACAATGATTTTTTTCAATTATCGCAGCCTATTTACGGTTTCTCAATAATCTGTGCTAAGTAAAGACTGCATAAATGACATGTGTGTTAAACTGATAATACTCTGTGGACAGTACAGTCGAGGTAAAAGTCACAACTCACAACAAAAACAAAATTTAAACGATTTTCATATAAAAACAAATTATCAAGATACCTTTTTTAAAGTTATGATATTATTAACTTAAAAACGAATGGTTTAAATGTCTATATAAATACAAATACTCTACACATAGTCCAAGAGCAGGAAAGAGGATCTATAATTATAGTTCAACAGTGCGGTCTCAAAAATTTGTTAAACCTCGTATAAAAGATGATGGTTGATAACAGTGAAACAGAATCAACGAGAAAGTGTTTTAAATATCACCATCATTTATCCGGTAACATCAACTTAGTCTACAACGCCACAAATTCCATGCTATGTTTCTGGAACAAATATCAAATATTTCTCCATGATAGGTTAAACTTTGAGGATACAGCAAAAATAATTGTACCGGAATTTAATATAAGAGAAACGTTGTTAATTAATAACTACCTCATATGCTTAGATGACAATGAAAATGTTCATTTAATATCATTGAAATTTAAACATAGTGGTGCAAAAAGGCCCAAGAGTAGCTTTCATCTAAAAGAGAAAGATGTACTGAGGATAGCTTACATTAATGATGATTTGATAAGTTTAAAAAAGGAAAATGGAATTTTCTTTATTTGTTCCTATAAGATCAATGCAGATCTTTCACAATTTAAGAAGCAACAAGTTATTACAAAAGATAAAAGTCAGAATGGCACAAAATGTCTTTTGTTTGTCTTTGCATTGACTTCGAATGATTTTGATATGGTAAAAGAGATTTTCAATGCCAAAGATACTTGGAAAGACCACTATTTGCTCATTATCAGTTTTAATGGACTTACATTATATGGATGTTTATCAAATTCATGGGCGAACGGGGAACTGAATTTCATCAAACTGTATACTGCACCTACAGAAATTGCTGACATTAAAATATTATATACAAGTCACCCTGAAATTATTATAGGATTGGCAACAGGGACCCTGATATGCCTAGCATTAAATACAGGGAAATCATGTAAAACTGTACATTTAAACACTCCTATTCATAAATTTCTTGAAGAAAACGATAGTATTATTTACACAGATGGTGCGACTTTGTGGAAAGCAGATAATGTCTTTGAACAAGTTACTTTTAGGCAATTCTTTGTCAAACAAGTTAAGGATTTTATAAAATGCAGAGAGCAAATAATATGCACTACATACAACAATTATATCTATATGTTCCCTATCGATGATGATTCAAGTTACATAAAATCTGTTTCAAATGAGGAATACTGTTCGGCTGAACACTTGTTGAATAATTCTGAATATTTGTACAGAATATTGGAGGAAATTAATAAATTAGAAACTTTGAGTAAGAAAATTAGCAATGAAAAAAATTACATTACTACCTTAGCTCTGTCAAATAAACAGGCAATTGTGGATTCTATAGTACAATATAAAATTACTGTTCTTGATAATTACGAAGAAATACTAAACGAAGATAGAACACTAACATTTACAGATGATCCCAGTGACATATTTAATAAAGATAATTACATCTTCATACTTAATATTACAACTACACATTTACAACAGAACTTTAAGGAAATACTTTCAAATGTGTTTGGTGACTTAAGAATACATATAACATTCTCAACAAACAATAAGATAATAAAGACTACTACAATTATAATTGAGGAATTAAAGAAAGCTGATATTGTGCTGGCATTGAAAAGTAAATGTATTAATTTTAGAAAGAAGTTCTATGTAAATATACAACTTATTACAAGAATACCAGGTGTCTTAGATGCCAAAAGAAACCTTTGGGCGTGCCTACATGAGAAAAACATACATGTTACATCAGAAAATTTTATAAAAACTGGTAGATCATCAAGGAATGTTTACTTAAAACAGAGGAATGTTGATATAAGTCATTCAATTTTAGAAACGGCGATGAACCAATATGGCTCTATATTCACCGTAGCAAAAGCAACACAAAAACCTTCTACCGATTGTTGGAATTTCTTTGTAAAACTACCAAACAACTACAAAGAAGTTTTTCAAAGTGACGTCCTTTATAGAAATATTCATAAACGAAGGAGACTGTATCTAAAAGAACAGACGTCTGATGCGTTTATAAAATCTCAGACTACCCTACAATTTATGATTGGTAAGGAAAAAATTGAAGTTGAGATAGTTAATGATGGATTCTCAAATCCGTTATTGAAAGTTTCGGGAGTCAATGTTAAAATGGCTTTGGATATCCGTAATTTCTTCTCTCAATTATTATACAGCGACTTTTCAGGTGTGGCACAAGATACATCTGTGAATTGGTCATTGTATACTACACTTGAGGTAAGTGTTGGAAAGAAACTTCAAAGTTGGTAATCCAAACTCAATGTAGTATATGACACGTAAATGTGATAAGTATAGTATACTAATTATCAATAACCAAATGTCTTCATTATTTTTAGACACTGCAGAGGGACGTGAAAAACAGCATAACATCAGATGGAAAAATTGAAGATTTCCTTGAATTGCATAACACATTCCAAAGAAATATAACTGCTAATTTTCCAATTTATGAAGTTTTTTATTTGTTACCTACTTATGAGACATTTTTTTAAACAACATAGTAAATTGTAGTGTTTCAGTTTTGTTTGTAGGTTCAAGGTTTGACTGGCTTTGTTTGTTGGCAATCTCTCTAGACTGACTCTTATAAAATCACTTTTATACACTTGTACAATGCAATAAGTATTTTACTACTTATCTCGTTAGCCCATTGCTTTTCTAGGTCTTTTGACTATGCTTGTTTTAATTCATTTAATATTTTTATTATTTTTACAACTTCAGCCACATAGACATTGAATGCATTTTGTCATTAGTTGACATTTTAAATTTCAGTTTTGTGTAATGGACATATCACATTACATGGAAAAATCGAAATTATGTAGTCAATGAAACACAAGGGAAATGTATATCTATGTATATTTAAACCATTCTCCTAAGCAGTTCGTTGATCTTATCCTCTCGGTTACCGAAGTCACCTCCGTCTACGTAGTGAATGGTCTTCTTGCGCCAGCCCCCAGTTGGGTTGTTTAGCTTGAATGGCCATAAGAAGTTACTTGCGTACTGCAAAATAAAGGAATAAGTTATAATTACTAGTTAAGAATTCTAATCGATATCTATAGTAGAAATTGGTGAAAAATAATATTTTTTTTGTCTCTTCCAATGATTATACTTTGTCATGTTAAAAAAACATATACAAGTTATTACCTTGAACTTCTCCCCAACAGTGAAGATCTCATGTATGAGGTCCTCAACACAGATTATGTTGCTCTTGCCGAGCCTTCCCTCAATGGTTTTGTTTGAGGTGATTGGCATGCGTTGACCCTTTACTTTGGCAAAACCACGCTTGTAGATCAACTGCCAACATAATGAAAGAATTTTTTATTGCTGCCTTATAGAAAAAAATATTGGATCAAAACAGTTTTAATTGTTGGAAACGCAAAGTTAATTATTTTCCCCTGCGATTGTTGCAAAGCATTTAAATTGTGAGATTGTAGTAAAAATAATTTAACTCATATATATTGCATTTAAAGCTGTTAGATAATACTTTACCACACATATAGAATTAAATTGATCTGCCTTATTTTATTTCTTTTCTTTTGAACATAAATAAAATATTATTTGTACGATTGAAGACATACCTCGCGTACACTCTTCAAGTTGGGGTAACCCCATGTGATGTAGGGTTCAGCAATTCTCAGCATGTTGACTGTGGCCTTGTTAAGCTTGACAAACACACCGTTGTTGATTTGACGGAGTCTGAACAGCTGGAGGACTTTTCGGACCTGATAAATATTAAAAGAAAAGATTTTAAATACATATATTAAACAGTTTAAATTCAACAAATTGATAGTTAAAAATAGGTTTTGTCTGTAATGATAATTATGTTATAACACAATTCAGTCTTATGTCCACATATTCACAGACAGTTATCTATTTTTAAATAAAATTACACCTATTTATAATTTAATTTTTAACTTATACATAGTATAACATACCTTAGGTGAGACCTGGTTGATACCACGAATACGGATGACAAATGCGAGCTTGGCTTCACCGGGAACGTAGTAGTTACCGCGGTTGCGTGCCTAAAAAGTCAGAAAAATGCAAATAATAAGGGCACTGGTATTTTTCCAGTGTTTTCAATACATGACATACTAAAACATTTGAGAATTTTACCATATTATATAAATTGAAACATAATCGTTGATTACCTTTTTTAGATTAGAATATGCCATGGAACTTAAACCCATAACCAAAAGGACACCTACAACAAAATAATTAAAAGTAGAATCACTCAAATACCGACCTGTCTGCCTAATCTGATTTCGTCACGCTCCTTAATTCTGTATTCCTTAACATACTGCTCGGCCCTCTTGAAGATTTCCTTACGCTTCTTAACCGCAGCTGATCTCCTTTTAAGGGTCACCTACAAACAATGGCTTATGTAGCAAAGAATTTAAACTACTCCTTGAAGTAATAATCACAACCAAATCAGAGTAAGAAATAACAGCATCTTTAATCAGATGAACTATGCCTTAAAATTTGGAATCATCATACAATGTACTAATTCATCCTAAAATGGATTTACTTGTAATAATCATGATTACTTTCTATAAATTATCAATAAATATTATATTTAATAACATTATTTTTTATAAAAATTGGCAATTTGTTATTCCATTATTCATATAGTTGAAAAATATTGTAATAATTCTTTTAATAGAATATAAATAAAGTCTTATAAATATAGATCCTAGAATTAAAAAAAGTAATGTTTTAAAAAGAATACCTGTAATCTGCGGGTTTTGAGAGCTTCCCTGCGCTTCCTGTGTTTCAGGACTGATTCTGGGACAGCAGGCAGCTTTTTGCTGTCTTCTTTGCCCTTCGCCACCTTAGGCTCAGCAGGTTTCTTCTCTGTTGTCGCGACCATTGTGCTAAAATACATAAGTGTATTTCTTACCATTAAAAACAACTCTGTTTATGAAAACTACAAGATCTTGTTGAGAGATAGTTAACTATTTCCAATTCGTATTAAATGTAAATAATTGAATAGAGGCCTCTTTCTTTATTAAAGATTTCAGTGCATGATTATATTGCAACTTCTATATTATCGCGAATAAGAACTATGGCACGGGAGCCGAGCATGTTTTTTAGGTTATAATTTAAACAACTTTCGATATAAAATCATTATACATATCGAAATAGTAAAAATAATTGTATATGATATATTACTGATGTACAGAAAACGGTTAAATGATAAATATAAGGCAAAATAATCAGAGAATGATCACGCATCAACCAGACACAGGTTCACTGTTTACAGCACATTTTTCACAAAATTTCCAAGTTTTTTAGCAAAAATATCACAGATGAATGTTTTTTAATAGTTTTAAGCTACGGATTACTATTCCTAAATATGTAATATTTATAAAATTTAAAAACCTGCGAGGCGAAACTCCACGCGGCACGTGTGTCAAATTCTAAAAAGACCTTAAAACGTCAAATTAAGAACAAAGATGTCCGATATTCTCCATTTTAATTTTATGGTATGGTAGCACTAACGCGTCAAGTCACAGCGAATAATAACTGTTTTGTGGAAATATACAGACTATACAGTATATTCGAAAATCTTATTTTAAAAACAATGATAAAATATTATAGATTACCATAGCAACAAAGGAAATTAGAACTATAAAATCTTGGTTAGGCTTACATTTATTAATACAACTACTTATGAATAGTTAAGAAAAGATGGTTGACAAAGATCCACAGTTAAGCGCTCTCGATGTTGGAGAATTAGATTTATTTGTCCAAAGTATTGAGCCATGGCGTATTGAAAGTATCGGAAATCAATCGTACGGATAATTTTAAGGTTTTGTTTAAAGACAAGGTTTTCTGTGTTTTCAATATCTTTTAATTTTAGATGGCTGGATTGGCATATACGCCTGCAGAAATTAAATCAGCAGGCTGTTTTAGAGGCGTCTTCTATTCAAGAAGAGCTTACAAAGGAAACTCTTATATCTCATGGAAAGGTATAAGAACAGTCATTATAATTATTAACCTTGATTTAAGCCTGGGACAACAATAGCATAAGACTTTTTAAATATGGCAATACCATACTTGTAAATTTTAACTTCTGCTTTAATATTAGCGCCAATTTAAAATTTTAGCTCCCAGTGTTAGTCAACGAAGCAATATGCATCCAAGTGTGGCGTACCAAAATATATCCCCAAATAATGAAACTGGAGCCTGCACCCTCTCATACGTTTGGTATTTACATGGTGGTAAGTCTATTATGTATTTAAAAAGACGTGTATGTAGACATAATAAGACCGTAAAACTAAAACGAACTACTTATTGTTCATTTGTTCTAGTTCCAGTTTATATTGCTTGTTTGATTCTTTATTTGTTTGTCTGTATTGTTTGATTATTGATTCTTTTCTCATTTTCTCTGATAATGCTTCCAAATTTTTGTCATTTTAGCTTTATCACGAAGCAGCTGCGGTTGGTTTGTTAGAAACTGTTCTCTTCCATGAAGATGGTGCTCAGTGCATCAGTGAAGTGGTCATCGATTTATTACACTATGCCGTTGACCAACTTACTGCTCTAGTCGGACTAATTAAGTATGAAACAATCTTTCATTCTTACGGTAAAGTAACATCACATACAAATTTATACCACAATAAAAATTAGTAATAAATAAAACTAATATGTAATTCGTAAACTTACGATTTTCGTAAGCCTTACGATGTACATTTTGACAACGCACTGATCTGAAACGCTTATATTAAAAGTTAGTTTGAAAACCTGAAGAGCTAAAACAATTAAAGTAATGTTAAAAGAAATTACTTTTATACTTGTTCCTCGTTCTTGATAACAGCTCTGGCTACTTGAAGCCTCTTACCGCTAAGGATATAGAATGCGAAACTACGGGTGAAGAACTCGAGAGACAGAAAAAAGATCTTCAATTTGACATCAGTATGCGATGTATATCTATTGTTCGGTGAGTGTTTATTCTCACTAGTACTTCTATTGAGTATATGAAAATGTTTGGCCTGTCGTGATTGAGAGCTGGTCTTTTCGCCATTTCGAGTGGATAGGATCTTCAGGACGGTCGTACAGCTCGCAAAGCAAAAAATAATGTCTTAAAATATGATAGAGGAGGAGACAGACAAGCATGACGTTCGGGGGGTAGGTGAAACAACCCAGCCATAATCAAACAGGATGCGCGAAGGTGTCGTGGGTTCGATCTCCGAGTGTCCAACATGTTTTATATCAATTTATATTTTTATGTAATTTTATTTCGTCTAGAAATCAGGATAGTAAATGGAGGGTAAGAATATAAAACTACCACCCGGGACACAAACCACCGCCCACAGTTGATATCTGTGGCTTTCCCAATATCCATAGCGAAAATAGACTGTTTAAGTTTTATACGGCTGGGATATTTCACCAACCATCGTGCGAACCTCATGATTGTCTGTCCTCCTCTATCATAGACAAATATCTTCAGGTATTTGACGGAGCACATGGAAATCGCCGGGGTTGGCGCGTCCTTGGCAACCAATTTGTATAAGACGTATGACGTGCCATCAATTCTTTGCCATCTGATCAACTTGGCTCCCTGGAAGAAAGTCGGAGACGACGGAGGGATGCAAATTTTTACTTGTGAGTTTGTATAAAAATCAAATAACGGTATTTAAAATATATTTCGTGTTATTCTTAAGAATGCATCTTTAAGGATGGGAATTTTAGTATTTTCTGTATATATGCGAGTAGTAAGTACACATTTAAATAAAATTTTACATTTATCTGCGGCGCGACGTTTCGGATGATTTACAGCAGCCGTGGTCACGGGAGGGACTGAAGATCGAGGTCCTTCAGCCCCTCCTCCCGTTCTCTCCGAAAATAAATTGTGAATAATTTAATTAGTATACCGTGGTAAACCGTTAGGTTTGGAATTTATTAAAAATAATTTTATTTTAGTCGGTCGCTGGACCACACCTACTGCCGAAGATTTGTCTCAGCTACACCGGAGTGAGGCGCAGCTGTGGTTGTGTTTACGACAACTGCTTTTGGAACCTCGTCTTCAACATCATTACAGTATTGATGAATGTCGGCGTGCTTCGTTTTGTTCTGTAATTATTAATATTACGTTTTCTTGTGGCTAAAAGTATTATAGGTATATGCAATTTACACATTTTTAAACTCAGGAATTAAATTGTGGTTAAATTTTCACTTCAACTTAATAATAAGTTCTTCATAAATATAAATACTGGTGTCTTCTCTAGCTACAAGCCAAGATCACCGAAACAATGTTAGACCAAGTGCCACCACTTGGAGACCTTAAGATGTTCTTATGCAGATTGGCCGTTGGAGATTACTCCAGTTTGCATAACCGTTCCAATGGTGTGAAAAATCCGGGGTGTACTCTAATCGAAATCGTCCCACAGGTGATAAATGTTTACTAAGTATATTCACACACATAAGACAACAAGGCTTGGGTTCATGAGGGGTCACATGGTCGTGGTCTTGTCAAAAACTTTAAATTAATTGTGAAACTATAGATACACGTATTTTATGAATACACTTAAATAATTTAACACATAATGATTTGTAAATAAAATCAATATGTTCAATTAGTCGTCCACCTTAGGCCAGGAACCATTTCGGGAGGGGGTGGGAGGTCTGGTTATGACCCGAACCCCCCCCCCCACTCCTGGACCCGCCGTTATAAGACAAATTCATATTGCAATTACATTCATTCATAATTACAATATCCAACTTGTATCCGCAGATAAAAGAATCTTATTTGAAAGAAGTCCATAAGCGCACCAAAATCATAGCCAAAGCCCAGCTGGAGCGTTTTCGTCTAGACGGCTCTGAGGAGTCCAAATCAATGGCGAAGAAACTACTCGAATCGTACACAAGCGATACAGCGCTCGCGCTTGACAGTGGTGGAGCAAAGTGCGCGAAATGCGGAGACAAAGCGAGCAAGAAGTGCTCCAGGTGCAAGACTGAATGGTATTGTGGAAGGTACTGTACATTTTTTATTACTTTATTTTTAACACTGGTATATATTAAGTATTACGGCATTCTAAATTTGATAATAATAATGAATACTTCATTATAGTAGATTACTGCAGCGATCGGAAGAGGCATTGATGGATGAGTGTGAATGTGGGCCCTCAAATATGTAAGTCCATCAATGCCTGTTGTTGTAGTTACGGCAACGTCCTGGACAGTAGTTTATACTTTCTACGTACAAGCCAATTCGAAATTTAAATAAAACTTTGAAGTTACCTCTTTGCTCACTTTTAGTTATAAGCACAACAATATGGATATTCATACAAGTATTGCTGGCCACTGTTCGACCAGTACAAGTTTCGGAATTTGTCAAAATTATGCTCAAATTTCCGAGCGTTAAGACAGTATTCAACTTTTAGCAATGACGCAAACTTGCCAGTAGAGAAGTATTCAACGTCTGAAGTCACCCTTGATGGCGAAACGTCCATAACTACTTTATGTCCATTATTTTATTACAGGGAGTGCCAAGTTCAACAATGGCCTAAGCACAAGGAAATATGCGATCAATTTGCTAAACTATGCATGTAACTTGTTGAAATAAAACTACATCTTAATTTTTTTGGGTTTATATTAAATCATTACACCTAAAGATTAGCTTGAGGTCTTCAAGTAGTCCTTTAATACGTCGAGCGCGGGAGTTTCTTCACCGAAGTCCTGCGAAAAACCAAGAGAATGTTTAGTTCAAAATAACACTAAAAAAAATTCTCAGACTTTGGTACAAATAGTATTAAATGCTATTAAAATACGCTTTAGATTATTTGTTCGAGCGATAAGAAGGTAGTCTATACGTGTTGTATTAGACACCATAGGGGCGCACAATTATTATAGCGCCGCTTTTGCACAAATAGCCCATGGGAACTAGCTGTGTTCGTGCATAGCGCAAAAGTGAGGGTTACATCGTTTTATCAATATAATAAAGCCATTTGAGATACTCACTTTGATCACTACACACGAGCATCCGACGATCTTCCGCGCTTTGCCATCTTTGTCGATTTTGCATAAACCTGCCCATTCACCAAGTTTCTTGTTGTTGTCAACCTGTGAAAATTTCATTGATCTTAAAGTAAATATTGTATGTATAATATATAAGTACTAATTTGGTAAAACTGTAAACAATAACTTTAGGTTCAGGATTTAAATGTCTGGATACTAGGAAAGTTGACTCAGCATGGTGCTGGTCACCATAGGGGCACACAGTTTACTCTTTGCTCCTTTGGTCTATCCCGCCATTGGGGCGAGAAGACTCGTGCGGAGCATAACACTTACAGTTACTTTATTTACTTGTTTAGTTCTTAAATACTACCCATAGAAATTGGGGCCTAAATTACATTAAAAATACCTTACAAAAAAACTAGGAGAGGTCATTTATTTGGTGTAATTACTATTAAGTGTAAATCTTAAAGAAGGATTCTTTAAGCTTTTCTATCTGCTTGAAAAATAATCTTAGATGCTTCTGTAAATATTATCACACATTTTTTATTTATGTCCTTTGTCTCTTTAACTGTTTCTACAGCTGGGAATCAAACCTAATGTGAGAATATAAGTTAATCTTCTTTCTTACTAAATTATATATTATACTTTTCCACCTTTCACTTTGTCATTTTTTATAAATCTTTGTATATAGAGCATCAATTACCTTAACAAGGGGAATTTGATGTTCATTGCAGAGGGCTTGCACTAATTTCTTGTAAGCATCTTCATCACAGTTCTCAGCCAGAACGCAAAGCACAGCTTGTCTCCTATATAAATAATGTAAAGTGTAAATACCACAGCAACATATGTACACCATACCTACAGTTAAACAATTAAATGTTAGTGCCAAGTGTTATTCTAGAAAGCTTTTATGCAAGAAATACTTATGTAGCACAATTGGGAGGCCACAATCTAGACAAACTACACAGTGGTACTATGTATGTGCATTTCTATCGGCTACAGATGAAGACCATCATGAATAACATAAAAGACATTTCCACTAAACACACAACTAAAACAGCTGGGTGCTTAGTGAATATTGTTGGACATTCCATAGCCAATTAGATCTGTACTTTATGGCTCATACAATACATAAAAATCACATTTCTGTATGAGATATGTTTTTATATGCACTTTGTTAATGCTCTGTTTTAAAAAACAAATTTTGTTATTGTGTCTTTAGGTTTAAACAGGTCTCAACAAATTGCTTGACTATGTTCAACGATCAAGCGAAAGCTATAAACCCTAACTCCCTAACATAAGTTGAAAATATTACATTCTGAATCTTGAGATCAATATTCACACATGATACAACCATGCTTTGAAAATGTATTAATGATTTATAGGTAGGTACATTAAATACGAATTGATGTTTGTATTGATGTGTAAGTGCACCCACACATGCTCTGTACAACAGTTTGTGCAGTCAGATGTTAATATTAAGGAGGAACTAACTTGTCAAGAGCCTTAGCAGCCTCGTGAAGTCCATGTACGAGTCCACCGTGGATGAGGGCGGTCTTCAATACCTCTTGGAGAGCTGTGTTCACGTCCATGGCACCGCCGCTCAACACGGGGGCACTGGGTACTTCACTAAAATTATAAATAGTTCGATATAAAATCAAGCTTATATAAAATGAACGTTTTAAACTGCAAAAAATCGTATGTAAAAAAGGTTATTATCAGTTTTAAAGGTTATGTTGACATGTTCATATTATCTTTGTTGAACCTAAAATGCATATAATTTAAATATCAGTGTAATGATAATACGGTAAAAGGGAAGTATTTTAAATTTAGTGCAATATGCAATATTTGTATGAGTAAAACAAGTAAACACACAACTTACACATCGACGTCGGCCATGGTATTTTATAAACTGTGAACCTGAAATATAAGAGAAATAACACCATGTAACTCTTAGCCATAATATATCACATATAAAAACCTCTTAATATCAATAGATTTCGGAAATATTCTTAGATTCAGAGAAATTTAAAATAAACACTTTGACACTTTACCTTGCGGACCGGAAAAAGACTGAGGTTGCCATTTTTAATAAACAACAAGTTTTTTGACGTTGACACTGTTGACAAATATGCCTCCAGTAGGTGTTGCCATTTTGAAACGCCTTATATGAGAATTATAACATGTCTATGAATAAATACTGGCTTGTTTCACTAATGACACATCCGCGCGGAAAATTTAAAAGAAAATTCGCAACGTCAAAGCTAGAATCACATTTTTGATAGAAGATTGTGTTTGGAGCTTATTTTTTCTTTACGTTTTGTATACTATTTATGTTTAGTTAAAATTCTTTAAAAACATTAATTATTAAACTTAAATCTTGTTTGTATAGATCGGCAAGTTTTTTATGAATATATAGAAATGAAGCAATTTTACTTTGATCAGCCATCAATACGATGACAAGAAATCCCGATATATTATTTACGACCGAGTACATAAAAAATGTACTCTATTTTGCAACTGTTAGACAAGGAAGATCTCTCAAAAGCACCAATGAAGCACATTATTTTTGTATTGACAATCAGCTAATATATGAAAATTATTATTCAGATTTTGGTCCTTTAAACCTAGGATGTGTTTTCAAGTATTGCAAGCTAGTGAACGACAAATTAAAAGAATTTCTAAACAAGCAAATAATTGTACATTACACTTCTATAGATCCCAAGAAAAAAGCCAACTCAGCATTTCTTATAGGGTGTTATGGTGTATTATACTTGAGTCTAAATCCAAAAGACGCTTTAAAGCCTCTATTTATACACGGACAAAATTACAGGTTCTCAAACTATACATTGTTGTTAAGTATGCTATTCAATATTGAATGATATCAATATCTCATTAATTTATTATACATAAATTTAGACAATTTCAAGATGCCACCCAAGGAGATTCGTGTTACACAATTTCTCTTCTAGACTGCCTGCAAGCTATTCTTAAAGCAAAAGAACTTGGTTTCTTTAACTTTCAAGATTTTAATTACGAGGAGTACGACAGATTGGATAGAATTCAAGGGGGAGACCTGAATTGGATTGTGCCCGGTTAGTTATCTTTTAATTACATAAATAAAACTAATAACTATCGAGTTGTTATGATATTATTGAATTTGTAGGTAAATATCTTGCCTTTATTGGACCAGTGGATTACAGTGTATCCCTGTATCATCCGCCAGAAATGTACATTAGCTACTTTTTAGAAAATAACGTAAAGATTGTTATTCGCCTAAATAAAAAATTGTACGATGGGAATGTGTATGTATTAATTATAATAATTCAGTTACGAACTCAAACTATAAAAGAGCTTAAACTATTTTTGTTACAGTTTCAGTAACGTAGGGATAACTCATTATGACCTATTTTTCCCTGATGGGACGTGCCCACCGCGGCATATATTATTGAAATTCTTGCAAATTAGTGAAACATCAGATGCAGCGATTGGTGTTCATTGCAAGGTTATGTATAAACTATATAATTTATGAGTATTTTTTTTACTCAAACGAATTCAAATAAGTAGCTCCTTTACCAGACATTGATGAAAGAATGTTTAGGCAGGTCTAGGTCGCACTGGGTCGTTAATTGGGTGCTACCTTATAAAACATTACCGCATGACTGCACATGAAGCTATCGCTTGGATGAGGATATGTCGTCCTGGCTCTGTAATAGGGCACCAACAGGTATTCACATATACAATACATGATACATTTAGGAAGAACTTATCTAACACATTTAAAGCGAAGACAAACCTAAAACAAAAATTATTTTTAACAGGATTGGTTAGAGCAGCTTGAAGCGTGGCTTTTAAAACAGGGAAATTCATATAGGTAACAGGTGATGACTTTATTCAAAAGTAAGAAAATATACAATTTCATGGAAGCTTTATAACTAATAATTGTTATAGAAAACGTTTATATGGCGATACAAATCGGCTTCCCACGCACGAGTTTGGAATATACTCGATTGCTGAGAAGATTAATAAACAGAAACCGGTAGTTTTTAGTAAATCACCTTCACCCTCACCACCACCTCCGTTGCAAAGACCAAGTGTAAGATCTGAAACATCTCCTCCAGCGCGGCCCCAAGCTTCAAAGACCAGAGATGGTGTGTAATACGACTCCTTACAATACAAACAGTGTTGTTTAAGTATTTTAAATTTCGTGTCGTGTACATCTTACAAGCTACTAATGTACCTTATACATATATATTTCAGTCGTTAAGAAATGTTTAGAAATAACACTGTTTGTAATCACTTTCGATACTTTTATAACTTTTGTGTTACGAACTGCCAATATATGTTGAAGAACAGTGTTATTTTTAACAAATTTCGCCGCAAACTATCTCTACCATCATTACGATAGATACATTTTTTGCACAGAAAAACATGAAAACGAAGATGAGGAGGTTTTTATTACATCATGTGATTTAACGCTTAAGCCTATAGAACCTCAAACTCAGTTAAAAGGATGCGTCATCAAAAATAGTACAATTTCGGAGAACGATGAAGGTAGTACGCAGAATGAAACGTACACATCGCGCTGGAAAAGATATCTTTGTTGCAAACCTTGTTCCAAAGCTTTTAATGATGGGTTATGGATCTTGGCAGTTCGTTTCACAAAAATAGCACCAAAGAGATGTAATTCTTGTAAATTGTGTAGCTTCGTGGATATGGTTAGCATTGTATTTTTTTTGTAATAAAGTTTGAATAATCAGAATTCAATTCTAAAAACTTACAATATTTTCCTTGAGGCAGTTACTAACAAAACGCCCGAGAAGAAGTTCGACTGGAATGTGAAAGTAAACTCTCCAAAAAACACACAAAAAGGGTAAGACATTGCAAAAAAAAAACCTACTTGTGTGTAGTATTTGTATCTAGCTTTAATTTCTCTTTGCAGAGACCAGCCAGCAACGGCATTACGTCGTGGTAGTGGAGCTGGAGAACCACGTGGATCTCGAAACTTGTCCCGCTGTACGACTCCAAAAATACAAGCAAAAAATAGCACAAAAACTATTGTAAGCTTTTATTATTTATTGAGTTAAATGTATTATGTGATTATTATAAATATCGAGGCATTTAAAACTTTCAGGATTCAAGTAAAAACACTACGTATGGTCCGATGCCTACTTTCCGGACTTCAGAAGGACCTCTGATAAAAAATGTGGCTGATGCTAAGGTTTTACGCATTATGTATTATTATATATGTATTTAATATATATTTATTTTGTGTATTCGAATATCAGAAAGAATATATTTCAGAACTTTTTGATGAGGAGCAGTTTGTGTAGCGAACAAAAAAAACAACATTTATCATCAGCCATCACAGTTACGCCACAGTATTCATATAGATTTTCTAAATTAGAAAACGAGAAGCCATATGCAAATGTGATCAATAAACCGACATCCTCAGCTACTGGTAAATTTACAAAACATTACCTGAGAATGAATAGAAAAAAAATAGCGACTTTTTTATAAAATGGAAATTATTTTTTTAGCAAGTAAATACTCATCACAATTTAGACGTCGTCTTGGTCGGAGTCCAAGTCCCTTGCCTATACGATACACAGAACAATCTCGTGCGACAAATACTCCTACTCCGTCTACTGACAAATTTTTGGCTAGAGATTCTAAGGCTGCATTACAAGAAGCATTATCCAGGCTAAAATGTAAGTGTATTTGTGTTGTTTTTCTTTCTGCGACGCTCTACTGTCTATTCATATAAATAACACTGGCAACAATTAACTATTTTTTTGTTAGTCATATGTCAAAAAGATGTCACTATTATTAATTGTCATTTTTTTAATATATGAGAAATAACCTTAAAATAACAATAATGCAACTACGTCCTAAATGTAAATCGATATAAAACAATGTAAGAATTGTTTTACTTGTCAAATTATTTCTTGACAAACTATCGCCGCCTAAGATGGGTGCATTAGTATCAAGAGCATTGCGACCTCTCAAATCATTTAATATCGAGAATAGGGCTCACCGGGTCATATCGAAGGAAAAACCAAAAGTGGCACCAAAATATCCATCTACCTTTGAAGATCTGCAAAGGGTGCAAGAAGCTGTACCCGACATAGACGACAAATTGGATAAAAAGAATCAAGATCTGGATCAGCGACTTAAAGATGTTTATGTAACCTCAACTGGTATCCCAGAAGATGATATCACACGAAAAAAGAAAGATGAAAATCCTGATAGACCATTACCGAATGACAGAAAACCTTTAGAGGACTTTGATTTTGGCTTAAAGGAGCCTGAGAAAATTACCTATGGACGTACAACGCTAAGAAAAAGTCTAGAATACATTTCGTCACATCAAATGAATCCTGATGAAGCGACACCAGCAAAAATAGCCTTTGAATACAAATTAAAGGAAAAGGATGTTGAGAATATACTTAAATATTTCAAAACATTTGAAATTTATATCCCCGAAACTAAGAACACTAATGCTGTTTTTGCTGGACCATTAACAGAAAGAAAAAAATTGATGGAACATTCTGTTGGAAAAATTGAAGCAAAAAAAGATGTTAAAGTTAAGAAAAAGGAGAAAGTGAACAGTGCTTCTTAGGCAGATAGTAAATTAATTAATTCTTCAAATTTCCTTTTTACCAAAAGTTTTAGTTTTTTACACAAGAAGCTATTTGTACTTCTTATTTATTTACAGTTATCTGTGGCAATACTTTGGGACTATTTTTAATTTTTGCTTCCACTTTGAAAAAAATGTATATAGATATAGGCTTGGTCATTGGATTATTATTTATTAATATAGATAGGACTCAATTCATTACTGTGTCCCTCTATGTTATTGTATACTTAATGGAATAATTTTATTTCTTAGTACAAATACCATGTTAAGTTATCAAAAATGTGATGTAGTATAGTGCTATAGATTAGATTAAATACAGTATATTTTAATTGTTTGTTTGTTTTTAATTCTTAAATAAATGTCTTTAAAATGTAATATTCTTATAATGGCCAAATTTAAATGACACATAATATAGTATAAAATTTTAATGGTAAAGCTCAGTCTTTAGTATTGTTATTAACTATTTGGGGCATTCAAAATACCTTATTGGTTTTGGTCATATAAGATATTTTAACTAGCTATTCAATTTTAATTTACTAGCCTCAAATGTATTACCAAACATTTGAGGCCGTTTGAGAAAGAGTATCCTTACTGTAATTTTATAACTTGAGTTATTTATATACTGTCTTAATATAAAAAATAGTTTACTTGAGTAGTACACATTTAAATAAAAAACTTCAACGGTTTAAATCGCGATATATTAGTTAAACTTATTTAAAAATGATTCATGACGCCTCCCCGTGACCACGGCTGCTGCAAAGCATCCGAAACGTCGGGCCGAAGTTAAAAATTATTTTCAAATAAGTATTTTATTTATATTTTCATAGTCTTAAAAATCTTAATGTATGAGAGCACAGTGATTGAAAATTGTTAACATAATTCATTACTACAAATTAATTTTCGCCTAAGTGCCTTCATATGCGCAACTAGCGCATTTTTATTTTCCTCTTTATTTAAAATCATGTTTTTTGTTATCAGGCCACTCTGCCTCTAGCAGCCTCATTTGATTTACTTGTAGAAGAAATTGTTATAATATGTATGTATTAAACATTTAAGGGTGCATGTAACTTTTATATTGGTCCATTCTGTTATGTAGTGGCAGGTCCGAGAGACGGTTCTATAGGCGCAGCATCACTAGGAGCTCGAAGAGACGCACCAGCCGTCCGTAGGGCTCCGTCTGTCCGCTCTGACGAAAGACCAACAGCTACGCAGGGGGATATGCTTAATAGTATCAAGGTAAACATAAGAAAATAAGTGCTGCAGGGTTTTACACTCCTGATAAATATGATATAAAAAAATTAAATCTAGTTTCCCTACCTTCTCTAAGTACATAGGATTGGTCTAGTATCTAAACACTTCCACTCTTATTACAAAATGAAGACCTCAAACCTGGTTTAAACCCTGGTTTACTTGGAATCGTTAGGACTGCACTAACTATGGTACTACCTTAGTACATGGTTTAAGAGTTAAGCCAAGACTCCACAGTCCCAGTTTAAGTTTTTTTTTGTAATAAGGTGTTTTGTAATAACATGTTTAAATCACTGACTGCTTATATTGCTAGTTACCGCCTCGGCTGCTCGAATTCAGGGATCTGTCGGGCTCGTTGGCCTAATGGTAGCAATGTATGCCTAATAATCAATGGGTCGTGGGTTCGCTCCCCACCAGGTCCAACATGTTTCCAATTGTTCTGAAACATGTCGGACTTCGTCAGGAAATGTGGATATTAAATGGGTGGTATATTATATCGGAATTCCGTCCGGGTCACGTGACCACCGTCCACAGAAGTTAACCGTGAAGTTTAATCGCGTTTCGTTTCTAGTATGGATTTCCGAATGTCTGAAGCCAAAATAGGCCGCCAGCACATCTTGCTTAAATGTTATATGGCTTATGGTATTTCACCTCCCATTAAGTGAGCCTCAAGCTTGCCTGTTCTCCTCTTTATAAGAAAATTACATTTTGAGTCTTATATGGGATGTTGCTAATCTATTTCTAATATTGATGATGCTATTATTTCCAAATTAATACCAGATTTCAAACCGTGGACTTCTCACGCTAAACAGAATGCGTTTACCCACTTAAGCTTGACTAAGTTGTCTTATTTTGTGTTCATTCTTTTCTAGTTCCAGCGGAGATTTCGTGAGATTGATAAGCCGTCGATGCACGACAAAGTGTAAGTTTTATTATAGGTTTGATTACAACTTGTACAATTATTACGATAAAATTAATATTATCTAATGTTGTATTTAGTCTCACAAAAGAAAGACCGAGTATACGCGTAGTAAACTCAAGAACGAGCACCATGGCCAACAGAGGAACCACACACGAGATGAGGTTTGTGTTTATAAACATTTTTTAAACAACGATAATCATTTTAATGTAATTTAAAACGCTAGATCATTCATAACATGACATATTGTAATAGAACTATTAAGTTCAACGTACGATCGAAAAGAAACGAAGACTTCTGTGTGGATTTATATGAGAGTACTTTTTATTTTTGTAAGGGTAAGAACATAATGTATAAATTACTTATAACTATATATTATTTTGACTACAACCTGACGTTTCGGATCACAATCGGACCGTGTCACGTCGAAATATGTTTAATATAGTTCTCGCTTTAAACCGTTAAAAATTTATAAATTATTTCAACTACATTGTCTAAATTACGTAAAAACGTAGTTCTAAATTAGAAATATAGATGCGCGAGAGTACTGGAGAGTACGCGAGAGTATATAATATCTATAGAAAAGTCTGTTTCTTTTGGACTTATCTTAAAGAATACAGCTCCATTAGTCTGTTACAAGCGGATAGTGCTTTAAAACTATACACAAGCCCTTTCTTAATTTCAGCTCTATGGGTCGTTCCAGCAGCCCCACAAGAAGTTTCCTGAGCCCACGACCGGCTTCGCCCAGGGGTCGCCGTCAAATGTCAAATTTCGACAAATCTTAAATTGTTTATGAAATAAAACTAGCATTACACTACTTACTAATTTATTTACATCTTACTATATATGTTTTACACTCGTGTAATTTAAGTCACAGATTAATACGGTTTTTGTAAGTCTGTTTTCTCATGAACAATTCTCAGCAGTTGTAGTCAACTGGTTTACTCATTCGAAACGAGATTATAAAAGTCAGGACTACACTTGGTAGGTGAAAAGTCTGCAGTTTTTGAGTTAAAATATCAAAATTGTTATGAACCGTTTTTCATTAACAATCGCTTTTTTTAACTGGCCTGGACGTACAATACTTAAACGCTAGGAAAGTCCAGGGTCTGGCGGTGGTGGGGCCATACAATTTCCATCGGGGTATCGCTTCTTGAACGCTGCTATTAATTCTGGGTCAACCATGCGAACACCATCTACCTGGTTTCCAAGTGTTATCCTGTAATGAGAAAGGTATATAAGTTATGACAAATCAGTTGGTGAAAGATTTTTTTAATACCACAATTCCAAGTGACAAATCATATATTTAAGCGAAGCGAAATTTTTAATTTTACTTATTTAACATTATTGTATTTTTAATATTAATGACTAAACAGGACATCTTACAATGATAAAATAAAAAAATAAGATACACTTTATTCTCTTTAAAATTTTAGATTCGTCAAAGATTTTTTGTTTGTCTGTCTGTATGTCGTGATTTTACAGATAGGAGTAGGCTACGACCCTCTATGCCCGGTGTGCAAAGAGAGTGAGGAAGCAAGCATTTATCTACTCACTAAATGCTCTGCGTATACAAAGCTAAGGCAGACACATGGGTAACCCAAAGAAATGGGTGAATGGGTAATCAGCAGATAATTTGGACTGATCATCGATGTCCCAATAGAAAATAATATGTATTAATAATCTTCCATGCTTACCAGTTTGGTTGAACATTATGTGGTCGTCCAAACAGCTCGATTTTTCTCGTACCTGGGCTCAGCCGTTCTGAAATACATATAAAACGATGATCACATGCTTTTTTTTCGGCAGAACTTTTAAACAATTATTATGAATCCAATTATTATGAATCAAAGAGAACGATCTGAAGAGCCAAGCGAAAACAGTTGGAGGATATCATCACAATCATGGAGACGCTGATGAGAGCCAACGAAGCGCGTAAGTTCTTCCGAGAAGTCCGTTCAGTTAGGAAAGGCTAGCAACCCTCCACACAGTCACTTCTCGACGATGACGGAAACCTTGTTAGTGACACGAGGTTTTCGCTTACATATATGTAACCATTATTATTTTTATTAAAATTACTTACATTTCAAGGTAAATTAAAGCTTACAGTGATTAGACCTTATTTTCAAATATAATGTTTAGGTACCTATTATGCCGTAAATCTCATCCGGTTTGTGCGAAGTGGCTCGAACTTCAGCCACGATGACGTCACAGTCCAAACCCCTGTTGAGGTTCTCCGGATTCCCTTTCATTCCTACCTGGAAATGGGTCCCACTTAATTCTACACAAGTAAACAAAAAAGACAGGCCCCAAAATGGGCCAATGGCAATGAAGTATAGCTAATAATCGATCCCCACCGGGTGCGTACTTCTAAAGTCAATTTATCATATCTCTGAAACATTCAGTTTGCCTCATGTCTAGGATTATGGTTATTAACTATTATTATTTTAAAGCCAAAACAGACCGAGAACACATTTTATTTAGTTGGTGTCTCTCCTGTTCTGCCATAGAAAAGACATCACCAAAACTAACCAAACAATGCTCCTTGCCGTGATTGAGCCAATGGCCCGTTCGTCCTGTGCGTATGATCCTCTGCAATTGGTTGGTTTTCACCCAAATCAGTTCATCCACTCGTTCATAGCCCCACAGCTTGAGGCACTCACGACCTAACTCCATAGCTCTGAAATATATATTTGTTGCAATACAAAAATATAACGTCAACTCAGTAGTAACTAAGTGCTTACCCGGTTAAGATAGTTCATGCGGTTGAATACTGTGAATACCATTTTAGCTGGATAATCAGTATTAGTTGGTCAATAAGAAATGAAAACTATGTGACCCAGATTTATCTTCATTTACTACTGTGCCAGCGACTTCATCCACATATTATAATAGTTGTTTTGGGCAACATTGTATTTTTCAAACCTCCTCCTTATCTTTATAAATTATAGCTTTCACCCACGACGTCGTCCGCGTCCCCTCGTTCTTGCGAGGTACTCCTAATAGATAGACATATACTGTCACGAAAAACAAAAATGTAACAAGAATTGTTGTTAATTAAAGAGGCATTATTCTTTCTAAATTACATATTTTTGGGTGTCTTTAACCATTTACGCAGCATATCTACGCATCGGAAACCTACAAAGAAAAATAATTTTCTCTGTTTTTTACACATTTTCAGCTGGTATTAATCACAGCAGAATGCGTTATAGCATAATTTTTCAATTCGAACCAGTAGTTCCTGAGATTAGCATGCATTCAAACAAACAAACAAACTCTTCAGCTTATATATTAGTATGATATTGAAGTAGATGTACCTAAAAAAACAAACTAACCTGCCCGTGACCCATAGAAATATGAGTCCGCTATCCTGCAGCTGTGGCACTCCAAGGCACCTCATCTCATCATCAGACATGGTGCCGTAGGGCAACTCCATGTGAATATCCCAAGGCGGGTCCGCCATTATAACAGCGAACTTACCTGAACATTAAAAAATTGTAAATATGTGATGATTATGTATGTATGTGTATACAAAAAAAAGACATTAAATTTTAAGTATTAGCATTGGATCTATGTATTTTCAAATTGAACCAGTAGTTCCTGAGATTAGCGCGTTCAAACAAACAAACTCTTCAGCTTTATTTTTCCAAAATTATATGAAATTTTTGATATCCTGGACACCGTTCGATAAATAAATCCCACATAAGTATAACTCAATAGGTATACAAATTCGGGGAAGCCGCGGCGGCCGCTCGTCGTATTACTATAGATTATTACTATGTTATTTTGACAAAAATCTTGCGTTATATGCATACGTTATGCGGTGATGAAAGCACTTGTTCTTACCTAAGAATGTCATATCCAGGTACCTCAGGTCGCATTGGATCCATTGCGGAGGCGTTAGTGTCAGAACACCATCAGGCTTCGATACTGTATTGGTTCCTAAAGTGTTAACACTGACTTTTATAACATTAAGTTGTAATAGAAGATTTCTTTTTATGTATAAACTAAATAATTCATACCATTTTGTCCTGGTTTTGCTGGTGTTTCAGTCTTACTGGCTGTGAGGTTTGGATCTGCATTGTCCACCTCATAATGTACATACCTGAATTTATATAATACAAAGATTAGTAGCATCACTATGAGTTTTATTTTGACGGGGAAACAAGTAGATTTAAATCCTCATTGATGATAGGTTCAAAGTATCTTTAATTATATTCTTCTTCTTTCCTCTTTTCTTTTTCTTACTAAGTATAACTAATACTATAAATTATTATATTTACTTATATATATAATAGTTACTTGCAAGTATCCATATGAAAGCATGTGTTCAAAAAGGAGCAATCCCCAAGCGTTTCATCTGTGTGACTCTGTATAATCTTCTTGAAGTGTAGTTTTTTGCAGTTATAATTCTGATTGTCTGTTTGTTCGTCCGCGTCTTGAGTTTTGTATGCGCGTACGCATTCTGCGCGGGTCCCATGCGGACAGAACTCCATTACTTGGGCTCCTGTCAAATTATACATGAATTGAGTTTTAAATTAATAAACATATACAAAAACAAACACAAATAATTATTATTTATAAGATATCGCGTTTTAAACCGTTAAAGTCTTTTATTTAAATGTGTACTACTCGCGTAAACCATATTATTTAGTAGTAGTATTTAGATTTATGTAAGTTTAAAGGTGCGGGCGGGCAAGATTACTTTAAGATTTCTTATGTTTAAGAAACAACAAAACTAACCACCCCCCAGTTACCAAAAAATTGCATGACTTTTAAAAATTGAGATATAAATCTTGATTACCTCCTTGGCTTTTGAACTTATCAGCTAAGGATTTCTCCTTGGCTGTAGGTTTGCTTAACAAATCCATTATCTCCTCACCAACTCTCTTAACTGCCTTTTCTCTGCTTGAAGGCATTGCTAAGAGAGACTGAAAAGAAAACAAAAGAATATTAAAACTAAATGTCGTGTTCTTTCTTTATACAATGAGAACAAGACAATGTTCATAATAATATAAATATGATGAACCGAGATAACTTATAATTTAGGGAAAGGCAATACATTCAAATTAAAAATCTATTTATATTGACAAAATTTTAAGTACTCGCACAAATATTTTTCACCTACCATGTTGAAAGGGGAAAGTCTAAGGTCTTTAGTAAAAGTGGAAGAGGGAAATTTGTGAAGTGGTCAGCAGATAAATTGGACTGATGATATGACCGACTATCAGTGATCCCAATAAAAATAATAATATGTGCAATAGCATGTGATATAGTATTAAATTAGTAAAAAAAACAGTAGTTTATGAGTAAAATAAACATACCATAATATCTGTGGTTCCCTTTCCCGCCTTTTTCTCATCTGTGCTTGCTTTGGATACCTTCTGTTTGGGTCCCTCTTCTGTGGTTTCATCACCTACAATAACATATTAATAAGTTATTAGAGTAATCATTATATATCCATAATTTGTCAAATCACTAGTTTGAACTCTCTCAACAAGATATTGTAATTTACAAAATTACCCTTTCTTTTACCACCATTGGACTGTTCTTCCATTAATGCTGCCAAAACAGCAGCCAGTCTTACAGATTCTGCACTAACTACTTCAATGCCCGCATCGGTTGTTGCTTCTGTGCGTTCTTTTATGCTGAAATGGTAAAAATCAATGTCACACAAGGCACATGTTTAAATTAGGATACAAATTTGTTACAAACGTTAGTATTGCTTACTTACGTGATAAGTTTTTGTGTGGCAAACTTTTGTAGTAAACTTGCAACAATCCCAGCATCAACATCCCCTAATCCAGGCATCAAGGCACTGGCTGTTGCTGGCAATTGTAACTGCATATCTGACAATACTTGCAGAAGACGCACCTCTAATGAAGCTGGTGGAATTGGCAGTTTGGGTTTCTCTGATGTAGCTGTTAATATATTAAAAAATGTATAAACTGACAAGAATATCTTATCAAAGGACTTAAGTTTTATGTTTTATTTTCATCATATATTGGTACCAAGAAAATCTGTTATATTCACTGTCACAAGTTGATCTTCTGAAAACCGTAATAATGAATCAAAGCTCAATAAAATTTTTGTTATTAAGAATTGAAATTCTTACAGAAAATGTGGCAAATTTCAGACAATATAGTAATATCAAGTTTAGAGATACTGTTCCTTTTGAAGCCATCATGTATGGTTTTAAGGGAAACCATAATTGTAACTATAGCTTCATGTGATACTATACCTTAATGACACTACAAAGTCATAGGCTTAATCTTTCATATCTATTAGCTTGGATACCCTGGCAGAACCATTTACCAAATATCTCCCAAAAAATTAAAACAACCACGAAGCAAGACCCAGAGATTCTACTCACTTTCTAATTTCGGCGCCGGACTTGATACACTTCTATCTTTACTGCTAGGACATCCTTCATTTTTGTCACTGATTAAATTCGTACCCAAGATGCTTTGTCGTTCTTTTTTACGCTTTTCTAACTTTTCTCTCAAGCTATTTCGTTTACTTTTAACAGCCTGAATTTCTTCCCATGCATCGGACATGATGCTAGGAGCTTTAAAGTGTGGTTGAAGTAGTTTTTCAATTAGATACCAAGCAAAACCATTTGGTCATAAGTTCAAAGGCGGATATTATATTTACAATTGGATATAGTATTGCTCATTTTAATTAGTTATTTGTACAAATGAACACGGTATACCGGCATTACAAAAATCTGCGGGTCAATTGTTATTCACTACCGTCAAACATAATTGTTATGATATAAATTTATTCTATGGTCGTATACAGATACAACCACATTGTAGTGTACACCAGTTTGCAGCGTTGAGTTTGCCTATATCTATTTATATTGCAATAATATTTTAGTACTTTAGTGTAACTAAGTGATCTGACTAAAATCATAAATCTACTTAGATTCAGCATTTACCTTTATCTAGCCTGGCCAGTAATATTTAAAAAAATTATATTGTTGTCATTGTATTTGATTTTCTTGCAAGCTCATTTTATTAATTTTTGTCATAATAAAGTTAGCGTAGAAGTTACTTTGCAAAATATAGTAAATAATTATATTGCGTCTTGCTGTTAATATATAAAAATGAGTTTTGCACCTGAGTTGAGGACTCACGCTCAAAAAGTATGTACTCTCTATAAAAAAGCTATGAGAACTATCGAAGGTTACTATGTGGCGAGGTAATTTTTGAACAGCCGCCAAAGCTCAAAAATACGGGATAATATATTTTTCCTACATGTATAAACTTACCCATTTATTACTTTAATGATTCGCAGATACATAGTCCGATATCACCAAGTTATTCTGAGAAAGCAATTTGATGATAATCGATGTGTTTCTGATGCAAAAGAACAACGTCGTTTGTTGTGGGTTGCAGAGAATGAATTATTTATGAAACAAAATCCTATACCACCAGCTAAATGTGAGGATAAAATTGATAAGTTTTATGTGGCGATTTTATTTTTTTATTTTTCTACATTTTAGTTTCTTTTTAGTTTCAAAATCAATTGGCTTGGCTGGTGGAGTCGCTTACAATCGTGTTGTGACACCACCAGACTGGATCCTTGATTATTGGCATCCCCTCGAGAAGGCGCAATATCCTGACTATTTTGCAAGACGTGAGTGTAGAAAACAAGAGTATCTTGAAAAGAGAAATAATGGAACTTTAATGTAAACCAGATATGCTCGAGTCTAAATAAAATTTATGTAATGAACTTGTTCGATTAATGCGTCCCTAGTCTTTTTCAAAATATACCGTAAAAGTAATTTTGGTAATATATATAACCGGTAAGTAGTATTACCGGTTTTATTACAAAGTAACCGGTAAAGTAATGTCTCACCATTTGTAACCATTGTATCGATGTTGTCAAAGTCATGCGTAAAGTTCCATATTTAAGGTTATGTTTTGGAGATTTTAATTGCAAGTGATACAAGTAATAGAAGCGTAGAATATTAAAAGGCAAATAGATATTTAAAGCAAAAATGGAAAGTCAATCAGCAGGCGCTAAGGCCTCTATGACTGATGAAGAACGGTTGGCTTTATGTGAGAAATTAGACAAAGAATTAGACGAATTTATAGATGGTTTAGAAAAGAAAAGATACACTGATGGATGGCCGGAAGATCGCTGGGAGGTATATTTGTTTCTTTTACTTCGTTTATACGGTATCCTTATAAAGCCTTAGTATATTAAAGTATCAATGTTTATAGGAAGAAATGGACAAACACCCTTTCTTTATGAAGACGGCTCCAAAAGGAGATGAGATGTCACCATTGGCCGAAGGCTTAGCCAAGCTCAAATATGATCCAGATGAAAATACACCATTGGAATTAGCTACAAATTATAAAGAAGATGGCAACTTTAATTTCAAACATAAGAATTACAGACTGGCAATTTTAGGGTAAGATTCATTGGGTAGGAAACATGTAAAACAATTCTGCTTAATTTTTTTATTTTAATTATTCATAAGAACTCTATGTAACAAGTTAATGATTGAAGAACAGCCATTAAAATAGTAAAATAGTGTTCAACAATTCACATTATCACTAGTTTCTGTATATACATTTAATTACTATTATGTGTTTTAAATTTGAGCTTCTTGAGTGGTAATTTCAACAAAATTGTAAAGGTAAGTTGTTGACAACTATAGTGTGTAGGGGTGTAGAAAGTGGAGTATACTAGGCTCTTCTAGACGAAAATTGAAACTTAAATATCTTATTGTTATAGATACACAGAGGGCATTAAAGTGAGATCAGACAATGCAGAAATAAATGCAAGTTTGTATAACAACAGAGCGGCTGCCCATTGGCATTTAAAGAATTATAGATCTGCCATTTATGACAGTGAAAAGGCATTATCATTTAATCCTGATCATGACAAAGCCAGGATACGAGCTGCAAAGGCAGCTTTAGAAGTTGCAATGTATGATAAATGTATCAACCACTGTCAAGTACTGCTGCAAAAAAACCAAGATAAGGATATAACAGATTTGTTAAACACTGCTAAGAAAAAGAAGCTACTACAAGATAGAGATAGTCGAAAAAAAGAGAGATCACAAAAGAAAAGGGAAGATGAAAAGAATGCTATTGTCAAAGCAATAATTGAGAGGGGTATTAAAATATCAAACTGTGAAGACGAGGATGACATTGATTTGTCTAAATTAGAACCTAGCTTACCAGGAGCACAAGACTCTATAGTTTGTGTTGAAAATGGAGTGCTGATATGGCCAGTTTTGTTGTTATACCCTGAATACCAGATGACAGACTTCATTAAGGGCTGTCCAGAAAACGTTCCACTAATTAACCAGATGGAACAATTATTCCCAGCTCCCTGGGATGAGGAAAATAAATATAGTTCCAGTACTATTAATGTGTATTTTGAAGGATATGACAAAATGCCACATGTTGTTAATCCAACTAAAACGTTAGGTGATTTATTATTGTTAAAATATTATGAACTAAAAGCTGGTACTCCAGCCTTCTTTGTGGTAGTGCGAGGCAGTAAAGTTGAGAGACAATTTTTAGAAAGTTATATCTAAGTGATTTTATATATATATATTATTGTTTTCAATTTGTTTTATTTAATAAAATATTTTAAGATATTCTTTATTTACCATGAAACAGGTTTAAAACATAAACCTTAAAATTCCAACTGCATAAGTTTTCTAAGATTTAGGATATAACTCTAAAAAAAATAGGAAAAATATTGGCTTTTTATGTTGTTTTAATGCCTAAGTATCTGTATCTGCATCTTCCATATCGTAATTTTGTTGAGGGTAGAAAGCTCCAGGCGGTTCGAAACTACCCTTGTCCTCGCTTAATGGCGAATAAGGGTGATGGGGCATTGCTCCCATCCATTGCGGATACCAGTAAAGACCCTGGTGGAAAATAAGTATATGTTTTAAATTCCTTATACATTAAAAATATTATGTGATATATCAAAGGACTTGCCTTAGTCCCCCCAGCGGCATTACATGTAAATCTGTCATCGTGAAGTTCAACAGTGTCTAAATAGCTCTTGCCAGCGATGGAGCCATAGTTTGGTGGGTACATGAACAAGCATCCTTCTAAAATGTCTAAACAAATAATTATTTTTCAGTAGTACTTTGAATATCATAATTTCGTAGATCTGTTTTTGGATTAATGAATGTAACTATTATAATTAATCTAAGGTATTAAAAGCAACAGTGGCGTAGCTATCGTGGGGCAAGGTGGCGGCCGTCTGACCTCGTTGTTGAAAAGGTAAGGTTAGAGGCTAAAAGAAAAGGATTCTTTTAACGTATTTGAATAAACTCGTTTTGTTGCTATTTACAATTTTGGAGGTTTATTTTATTCAAGCTAAGCTGAAAGAGGGCCCGATTCCTTCTTAGGCCCTAGGACTAGGTAGACCCTTGTCAACCTAGCTACTCTGCTGACCCCAATCCTTAGTCTCAACCAGGAGGCAAATGAAAATCCAAGAGACAAAAGCTGTTGTAGAAATCTTATGTGTCTCGAATTGGCAACTGCAAGCTCAGGATAGGATTTTTAAAAGCGAGTGAGGTTGGAAGTGCTAAATATATAACTGTCACTCCGGCAACAATGTAACTTTTGTGAAAGAAGTTCGATTGTGTCAGTGTGATTATCCTTTTATACTCACAAGGCACAGTGATATTTTCTTCATCACCATCCGGTTTAAGTGTCGGTTCTATGTATGGAGGTACAGGATCAATTCCTGTGCCTGGATCTCCAGGTATTAAGAATGGTCCTAAAATATAAGAAAGAATGTATAAGAGTTAAATTAAACAAATAAAAAGTTTGGCTAGGAAAATATTACCTCCATAATGGTTGGTGTAATTCCACTCACATACATGGTGGTCACAGACAAGGGGTGTATTAGCTTCTTTTGTGTAGTACGTGTTACCGTTTGGAGTTGTCTGAAAGAAAGTATAGATACAGATTAGATTGGATGTAAAATCAATTGAAGGCAAATTTAAACGAAGTATTACGTAGCCATATCGTTCAAAAACTGTCGTAATTTAGTAAATACTTACTAGCAAATAGTCATAATGCCTATAACGTAATCCTTGAATATTGAAGTCCAGAATAAAAGACCCTGATGCAATAATACAAGCCGCGGCCGAAAGTGGCGGTAGTTTGTACATGACGAGACCACATTTTACGATGGCTTTTGGAAGAGTAGACACGTCTCTTTCCCGTTGTAATAACTTTTTGAACGGAAATCTAAAAAAAAACTTTGTGCATATCTTTGAGTTGTGTAAAAAATACTAATATGGGAGGTCTAGAGAGTGTATTATTTTATAAAACGATATTATACCTGAATATACAAACTCCAACATGACACTCCAGACCGTGTATATAATTATCCGTCGGAAAAGAGATGCTGGGGTCATCTAGAAGATAGTACTTCTGCTCGTCGTGATAGTGCAAAAAGCCGAGAAACACAAAAGATCGGTCCTTACAGTACGGCGCGACACCTTTTCCAATATTATAAATATCGCTGTACAGTTCAGATAAAAATATATACACGTTTTTACCGCAATAATATTCTGAAAACAAGTAGTGTAAGTATCATTTTAATAATAAATCATTAAATATTCTTTTAAATAAAACACTTTTAACGGTTTTAAATACCAAATATAACGTGCTCTCCAAAGCAACCGAAACGTTGCGCCGTAGTTAAAATAATTTGTAACGTTTGTTGTTAACTTATAATTGCGTTTTAAGCCGTTAAAAGTGCTGTATTTATATGTGTACTACTTGAGTAAACTAGAGACATTTAAACCTTCTTATCATAGTAAGTAAAGTGTTTTATCCTAATTATTTTTTGTATTGAAGATATAAGTAAAAACCTTGACTTAAATAGAATTCTGTGGGTACAGGACCCCCGGTGTATGTCGCTCTACGTTCAGCGCCAATGGAATTATGATTCTCATACATTGTCATCATATTGTCCAAAACATCATCAAGGGTTATCAATAAAACCTAAAACAGTCAAATTATCCTTTAGAGGTTAATTTATAAATCTACCGTCATTTTTTTGTTAAAAAAAAGAAAACACAATTTTTTCGGAGTTACCTTCAATTCTTGAATGTGTAACTTTACAAATCTACCCAAATGATCAGTTGCAATATGAACGCGTTCATTTATCAAGTACTGAAATATAATAAGGATAATTTTTTAAATAATATTTCGACCCTTTTTATTAATTAGGGCATAATTTAGGCTGGAGGCAAAGTGGCCTAATAGAAAAAAAATTAATAAAGGGAAAAAAATGTGCAATTAACTTAGGCGAAAATGAATTTGTACTATTATTTGTGTACGAATTATGTTAACAATTTTCGGTCGCTGTGCTCTTGTAGATTAACATTTTTATTCTATGGACATAAATACTTAACATACTGACTCAAGTCATAAAATTGCAGTTAGGCTACTCTGCCTCTAACGGTCTCAATTAATAACACGCGGCAGATAAATCTCTTGATAATAGTAATAAGTTCATTAATATGATGCTTATTATACCTGATCTTCAGCTGTCCTTATCCTCATCATTTCGTTCTGATAGAGCCACAGGTTGTCTAATTTGTCTGTCGGGTCGTGACCGTAAATTTCGAAGGCGTCTATTATCATGGCTAGCGTCAAATTTTCGTTGGGCTCCAGGCAACATGGATGGTTCCTTATGTTGTAAGGGTACTATCAAAATTAAGAATTTAACAGTGAAAAACAGAGAAAATTGAAGTTATAGGTAAATAAAAATCTACTTTATAAGCATCAATAAGAAAGATCCCTTCTTTCTCCTCTCCTCTCCACTCACATCTACGCCGCCTAATCACATCCTCGCTTAACTCATTCACCTTATTTTTAATTCTGCTTTAGCTTACACTATTGTTACCTATTACTTATAATGTTAAATACGTAGTAAGCAAAATATTTAATTTAGTTTAAAGATTTAAATTCTGTCATATTAGTATACTCCACTTGATAGCTTTATAAAGATATATTAAAAATGAATTTAGATTGAAAAGCATCGATGAATACGAGCAGGACGCGATAAATCAGCTGGTAGGACCACCATTGAACATAGTGGTAGTATCTTCGACTCCCACCCGTGTCTTGAATTTGGTTTTTGTCTTGTCATACTAAACAACTCTTTTGCATCATTCAGTTAGAAAGTATAATATGAAAGTACATACAGTTATTTGTAGCCAGGTGATACATAGTATAAAGAGTACGCATGCGCGAATGAAGGCAGGCATTTTCGAAACATGGCGGCCAAAATGAACTTTTTCGCGCCAATTAAAAGGCTATAAATTCTGTTAAAAAATAAATGCCAATTACATTTTTTTACGCGATGCACATTATAAGGAATCAGACAAATCGGTGTTGTAAACAAGTTACTTTTTTTAAAACAGGGTTCTGATGCCATTAAAATATTTTCATGTTCTAATAAAGGAAGGTACGAAATAAAACAAACATTTTCAAATAACATTTCATATTCATTAAAATACACACCTAAATTTTCATTTCATCACAATACGTACTGAATATTTATATGATATTAACATTATTGCAACATTTTTAAGTATTCTATAATTCAATGGAATTAATTATTGTCTATCTTTATTGTCTAATTAAACTGGATTTGGCAATAACAGAAAACGGAAGCCCAGGTCTAAAATACAAATAAACGTTTTGTTATTAATTTTAAATAACAAAATATAATATTACAAGCAAAATTAAAAATATTTATTCATAAAAAGGGAAGACATTTATTAATATTAAACGATGTTTATAAGCAACATTTGAATATGGAAGACATTTCATTGACGCTTGATAAACCTACCTCCTTAGTATTAAGTACAAGCAACAACACATTGCAAAATATGGTTCTAAATCTTTCTAAGTCAATATATAACTGAAATATATAATAAAAAATAATTATAAAGAGATATAAATGGAGAATATACCCCTTTTATCATGTTATACGTATAATTCCAAATATATATTTGCTGTTTTACTGTCATTGATTTGTGTAAGAACCAAGAGGCACATTTCGCTTTACGCGATAGGACTTAATATTTTTGGTTATAACCTTTACACGTTCAAAGAAAACACTTGTGGAAAATAATATAGGTAATTTTCCATGACCATATATGTTTCGAAAGTAGTTAAATTTTGTATATTGCTATGATGCATAATAATCAAGCATTTATAAATTTGTTATATGGAAGACTTCGTTGTTGAAGAGATTAAAATATATTCTTGGAAGACACAATTCTTATATCTAAGTAAATGTTGTACATATAGACAAACAGTCATTTCTATAATAATTATTCATAAATATACTCTTAGTGCTACACATTATTTTGGAAGACGTTGGATATATCGTATTTAACGCAACAAGTTTTAAGTTCTTAACAGCTAATCTAAATTACAAAATCACATCAGACTAAATAATGCCGGCAACATGTTCACGCTGCAAAGGGATTACAGCTTAATAAATAATAGACATTAAATATGCATTATTCTAAAAATAGTTCAACAATTATCTAAAAATCTACGAGAAATTAAAATGGCAACCCTATTTTAAATGCTTTCACAAGAGCCGAACCGGAGTCGTACATACCGATTAACCCGAACAAAACACCTAATCCTATGATGAAGTAGTCATAGGCGACTGTCTGGCTGTCGAGCTGATTGGCCTTCAGCTTCAAATGGAAGTAAGCCGGCCAAATAAAACTCAACATTGTCCCAGTGAAGCTGCCAATAAAACCCATGAGTATTAGGAAATGTGGTATGAAGACTGCCATGAGTATAGTAAACATAATCACCCCAAGCCTCCAAGCTAAACCCCACACTTTCAGTTCTCCATCTAAAGCATAAATAGGCGGAAATAGAGTTTTCGGTTTTCCTCGAAAGAGAACGCGCTCCAGCAAATCACAAGCCGCATAATAGGGCAGAGGGTAACTCAACACTGCTTTGATCACAAGAAAGAAGTTCACAAGACCCTTGAAACCAGCAGACCTAAGGTTGTTCGTTATGACCTGTTGTGTGTCGTTTTGAAAGGTCAAAAAGCAGACATATCCAAATATGGCTTTAAAAGCAGCAGCGGCGATGTGAGACCAGTTTAACATCCATTCAAATCTGGATCTATCTTCCATGTTACCCTCTAAGGTAGGCAGAAATATCTGTGACGTATACGAGAATACGATGACACCCAAACTTATTGGAAAGTTTTCTAGATCGAGATTCCATTTAACTTTTCCCCAACCCCACTCACCAATATAGAGGATACAGTACCCGATAACGATAGCGTTGATGATCAAATGGCTCATGGTACACCAAAACGAAAGCATACTAACGCTTTTAAGAGACTTCAAGAATGCTAATGGCAGGAGGAAAATGCCGGTAAGCATCATCCACGATCTGGTATCGATCGAGCCATCAGGGAAAGTACCGATCATCAAATCCCCACACACAACAACGTATAGAATGCAAGTCATTAGCAGCTCAATAATTTGCGCGATGTTGACAATTTTTGCACCGTACTTCCGTCCGAAGCATTCTTTAGCGATGCTTACGTAAGAATCGCGGACTCGAACGCGCTGTCCCGAAACCGGGTCATCTTCATACAGGCAATCGACTAGTATCTTTCCCGTGTAACAGCAGATGTGGGCGATTCCGACCATCGCTGCTATAGACCAGTAACCCCCCTTGTAGCACAGCAAACGGTAAAGAAACCACGAACATTCCCTATGAGACAAAAATAATTGTATTATTTTCCGTTACGACCAGGATGAAAGTCATTGAAGTCTTTGCTTACTTGAATAGCGTTCGTGACATTCCAAGCTGCTTGAAATTCATTGATTTTAGCGCCTGGGTTTCCACCGCCCTCTTCGAACCCACCTTCCTCGGATGAAGCGTAAAAGTCGACGCTTTGCATGCTTTGAGTTCTGAAAAGATGTTTTTGGCAGCTCAAGTCTTGAATCGAACAAAGGAAACATTGACCTTTTTGACCAAAATACCTTGGAGCACCATCTTGTTGTGGATACGTATTCTGATAGCTGGTGAAGGAATCTTCAGCTTGGAGTTGACCGCTCAAAAATGGATTAGTTGGGTTTGTCGACTGGTAAGACGGCGATGTTGTTTCGTTCATCGTGGATAACTCACAGCTTTCTCCCATGTCTATTGGGGGATTAGAAAATATTTTACTTTGTGTTGTTTTCTTCGAAAAGTTTTGACAAATTTATACGCATGCATGTACTTGCCTGCATTCGCAAATCGGACATTTTGTGGTGGGCGCGGTGGAGCACCGGACTTCTCTGGTACTTGCTGCCTCACGGTTTGCATCGCCACATCCAAGACATTCTTGATGGGCGGTAATTTGAAGCGGCCCATGTTAATCATTTTCGCGATTTTTATAATTCAAATTTTTTATCAACAATTCCCAAACTTGTATAACGAGACTAAATTGAGGACTTATCTAATCTTATATTGGAAGACTTCTTTTCACTTAAATTTAATTAAATGTAAATTATTACATTTCGGATTCTTTTTTCGCCATTACGATCGTCACTCTTTTATTTCTTTTGTCTTTTTTTTTAAATGTTTTAAACGCACTTTATGATATATGATTTGCGATCATGTTGCCGTGTTTTATTGCTATTAACACTGTAAATGTAACATTTTTGAGAGGTTTTTGTGCGAATGCTGTGAGGAGGCTGGATACAGTAGGCGTAGTAACCGACGCGGGGGATGTGCGCGGGAAAACGATCGATACACAAAAGAGTTTTCGTGTTCCGATATTAAACGGATAAGTTGCACAATATTATGAGCAGAAGAGCAATTTCACGCTGTCAGATGCGCCCCTTGCGTCTTTAATTACTACTAATTATGCGACTAAGTATAGTATGTTGTACATTATACTTCCCTAAAATACAATATTAGACTTAAAATTTTTAAAGCCCATTTGTAACCTGGTCACATTACTTTTCTGTATAAGGTCAAAGTTCTGTGGCCTAAATGACCGAAACTGATTGTTTTTTCAGGGATTTGAACTCAGGACGTCTTGCAATAAACGAGATCTTTAACCAGAGCACTTCGAAATAATGAATAACTACCTCGAAATAATAATAAGCTTATAATAGGCTACTTTGCGCTTTAAGCATTATTTATTAAAAGCATCTTTGTCTATGTCGCTAATATTTTATATTATATTTGTACATAAAATTGTTTTTTAAGTTTAACACGTGCCAAAGTAGATTAATATTTAAAAACTAATTTGCCGCTTTTATCGTATAAGCCTGCGAGTAACATGGCTTTGTTAAATAATAATTATATTCTTAATCATCATAAATCTATTTAGCAGTAATAAATACTATTGTTCTTTCTATTTAGTATTCATATCCATCGATAGAGTGAAAGCTCGGAACATTGTTGGTCATAGGTTTGAGTCCCGCGTGTGTCGTAATTTATGTTCCCTTTTTAATCCACAAAGTCACGTGATATCCATTGTTATACGAAAACACCTCAGCCTCGTTAAAACGATCGTTAGTTTATATCACACCAATTATTGTAATAACCATTGGCTTCTGCGATACTTACAGTGTTTACGTAAGATTTCCGATATGGCGTTTCAAAGCGGTCGGTGGCGGCTGAAATATTTATTTATATGTTACTTTACTTATACAGTAAGTATTATTAAAACAAATGAGAACATTTTTTATTTTTTTATACTTTACTTACTACTGATTAATTATAAATATGGAGCCTGTAGCAAATGTGCGAAGTAACAATTCAAATTTCGAACAATATTTCTGGTCCACAATGGAGACTACCCTCCTTAGATATATAGTTTTTTTTTATTACTACAGAATGCCTATGACATACGCAACCATCCGTGCTGTCAAGAGCCCACAGATAATATTACTCTAGCAATGATTATCGATGCTTACGAAATTTATGGGCATGATCCTACCGATAAATTGGATCATCTTGCGCACTACCAGATTGAGATGATGAAGATTAAACGAGCTGCAGATCAGGTAATGCCTCCAAAAGTGAAATTCCATTTCCCACGGAGGAAATGGAATTTCACATTTCATGGCATGGGGCCAACGTGTTTCTGCGTCCGCTTCATTGATCGATCATATTGTCATGCCCTGCCCGAACGTACAATCTATTGTTCTCCTGAGATTCGAACTCCGGAGCTTTCGAGCTTAGAGCAGTGGTAGGTAACACGAGTACCTTTTAGCTAGCGAGGTGGTCCTTTGAAACTCGGAAATATCTCAAAAAACTGACGTTACATATGCAAACGAAGGTTTTCTGTATCTAAATACATAATATAAGAAAGTGTTTCTAGAAAGTTTCAAGGAGTAAAGCGTATTTTGTCTGCGGTTTCAGTACTTGATTAACGAGCACGTCCACATAGCTACGGACCATTTGGGGAGGTTCATAAACATGCATATAAAGGAACTGAAGGTACTGCTGTCTGTGGTTTACACAAGTACACATTTAAATAAAACATTTTAACGGTTTAAAACGCGATATATATTGGTTAAACTTGTTTGCAAATTATTTTAACTATGGCCCGAAGTATCGGATGCCTTGCAGCAACCGTGGTCACGGGGAGACCAGGTTTCGTGTTTAATCGCCTTTTAAGCCGTTAAAGTGATTTTTTAAAGGTACTGCTTGAAGATCACATTTAAATACTATGCTAGGCAAATTATATTTGGAAACCAATCAAACACAATATTATCTTCTCCTTAATAAGTTTGTTGTATACTTATAGGTCTTGCTTATCGCTCTTGACGATGCTGTGGACAACATGCTAACCATGTATGACAACCATGACACTATAAAGACAGAAAGAGTAGCTACATACAACGCGGGCGCTGGAGGCGCTGTGCCTACAGAATTTTATTTAAGCCAAGGTATTGAAAAGCTTTAGAATGTCTTTTTTTATGTATACTAGCCGTGGGGTGTTAAAATTTGTTTTTGCAAATTTCTCATCATCTTTCTAATTTATACAGGACGAACAATGTCTGTTGCCCACGACATTGTTCGCGTCCTATGTTGCAAGTTAATGTTCAAAGATTTTTGGGTATCTTGAACCGTTTTCGCAACGCACGCAACTCTCAAAGATGATTAATTTTCTCCATTTTTTCATATTTTGCCGCAGACTGTTTTATAGCCTAAAGCCTTCCTTGATGACGTTCTAATCAACACAAGAATCGAACCAGCAGTTGCTGATATTAGCGCGTTTTAACAAACAAACTCTTTAGCTTTATAACATTAGTATATATAAGTACAGTATAAGTTTTAATGTCACTTCTGAGACAACTGAAATTTAAGGTTTTACAATATTCTGTTAAATAGGAATGTTATGAAGCCCTTTGTATACGGTCTGTAGTTCTAACTACGGTCCGACGTTTCGGGTGCTTTGCAGCAGCCGTGGTCACGGGGAGACTCCCCTGTTTTATTTAAAAGCCCTTTGTCATTTTTAGAATATTATTGCGGCAAGAACGTATATATCTTCATATCTGAATTGTATAGCGATATATACAATATGGGAAGAGGTGTATCTCCTTACTGCAAGGATCGTGGGTTCCATTTTCTCGGCTTCATCCATTTTATGGATGACACGAAATACTTCCTCGAGGAAGACCCTAATGTCGCTTTCCAGATGGACAATTATATACATGGCTTGGAGTGTCATGTCGGTGTTTGTATTTATAGGTGAGACGTCAGTTTTTATTTCAGTACTGTACGTTTAAAAAAACGAAACATTTAATACCACGATGGTAGGAAAAAATAAACATTGTTATCTAATGAACAAGCTGTTATGCAATGCAAATTCCTCGTCTGTAGCAAAATGGTAAAACGTGTTGCTTAGAATTGCGTTAAACGCGAGAGATCCTCAGTTCGAATACCCGGGATATAGTTTACGCGAGTAGTACACATTTAAATAAAACACATTAACGGTTTCAAACTCGATATATTACTTAAACTCATTTGAAAATGATTTTTAACTTCGGCCCGACGTTTCGTGATCACCCCTATAGTCTCCCCGTGACCACGACTGCTGCAAAGCATCCGAAACGTCGGGCCGAAGTTGAAATAAGTTTAACTAATTTCAAATAAATTTAACTAATATATCGCGGTTTAAACGGTTAAAGTGTTTTATTTAAAAGGTTTTTTTGGTTGAGCAAGGCACTGCTGCATGCATGGCCCCGGGAGTAAACGGCACCTATTAAGTAAAAATAAAATGTGTATGACATACTAGATTGCACTGATGATTTTTTTTGATTATCGAAGTGTGTTAAAGAATAATAATAAATTGTCTAATGCTAAGAGCATTAATCACACTCAATTGAGTTTAAATTTCCCCAAGATTCCCCTTCAAAAAAGGCCTCCAGCACATAAGAGATGTATCCACTATGCCAAAAGCTATAGTAAAGTGTGGAACGGAGGTATACAAGCTGCCACCACTGACTGCTGCCTCATGCATCATAACATCAGGGTCTTTCATACTCGACTTCAATATTCAGGGCATACGGTTTAGACACTATGATTACATGCTTGTAAGTATACATGTATACAATTTTCATCAAGCATATTGTTAATTGGGCCATTCGGCCGACGTAAACGAGAAGAACTATTTCTTCGAGGAGCGAACAACATCTCCTTATGATGTCGTCTGTTCGCGATGGCGAGCGTCGAGAACCCCTTCTCGGTTACATCGGCCGATCGGACCGAATTACAATGATATGCTGAACGAGCCGTGAAAGTCTTACACAATTCAGTAGACTTATTTAAACTAAAGTAAATAGTCTTTATACTTTTAGTTCCTACCAAATGGCCATTCATATTACACAAAAGAGAAGTCTTCGCCGCTCACATGTGACCATCACGTCTGCGAATGGAATAACACTAACTTTTACGGAGGTATGTTTCCGTGTTACTATACATTAGTATTAAGTACAGATTTTTTCTCGAATTTATACTTGTGCTATAATCGTGAATTAAAACCCCCGTGACCACGACAGTTCAAACATGTAAAATGTCTGATTGTTAGTTTTTTAATGTATTGCTAAGATTAATATATTTCTCATTTTTCTCTATTCTGTTTTTTCAGGTCCATTTATAATCCCTGGCGACCCAGGGACAGGTCTGTCACCCATTCCGCCATTCTTGGAACAGACAACAGAAATGTATTCAATCTCTACAGAACCACCGGGTCATGAATACGCTAATATCACATGTAAGGATTATTTCATACGGAAATTTGACTAGGACTACTAAATATGCTCGTTGGTCAAATGGTAGTCGGAGAAATGTATTACTTATAATCAATCCGGTCGTGGATTCGAACCCCACCGAGTGAGTCCACATGGGAAAAAAATATAGGAAATCAAATTATTTTTTTTTTTTGGGAAATTTTGATATTAAGCGTGTGGTAGGAAAAAAAAAGTGGATCTTGTTTCAGTTTTAATTCGTCCGAAAGTCCAAAGCCGAAATAGATCTGCAGCGTGGCTTGTGTAATTGTTATATGGCTGAAACATATTTTCTCTCCATCTCACATTTTTCATCGTCTTTTTGTAAGAAAGAAAAAAAATAGGTGCATTTACACGAAGATATTTAAATTTAAAAGCTTATTTCCTTTTAAATAAAACAGTTTAACTGTTTAAAACGCGATATATTAGTTAAACTTATATGAAAATGATTTTTAACTTCGGCCCGACGTTTCGGATGCTTTGCAGCAGCCGTGGTTACTGGGAGACTGCGAAGTTAAAAATCATTTTCAAATAAGTTTAACTAATATATCGCGTTTTAAACCGTTAAAGTGTTTTGTTTAAATGTGTACTACTCGCGTAAACTATAGACAGTATTTAAGCTTATTTCCCCTTATTTATAGATTCCCTAGATGGATGCTGGTTCATGTTTCCACCAAATTATGGCTCAATAGCTGGTATTAGCTACTTAGATCCGCTGACTGTCAACGAATATCGCTATACGTGTACTGGAGCTGGTAACAACAAGGTTAATTATTTCGTTATCTTATCCAGTCCATAGGTACTAGTCTTACAGCTGACCACGTATCTCCTCTCATAAAGAATTACCGGGCTCATTGGTGTAATGGTAGCAATATATGCTCGATCCCCACCGTGTCCACATATTTCTAATCAATTTATAATATTTTTGAAACCCATTGGACCTTCTCTGGAAATCTGGATAATAAATGGATAGTAGTAATATCGAAAGTCTCGAACCACCGTCCACAGATGAAAAAGCCGTGAATATTAATCGCGTTTCGGTTCCAGTCCACCAAATAGGCATCGCATCTTGTTTAGATGTTAAGAGGGTAGATCAGAGAAAAAGGTCTTTATCTTATTTAAAATACCAAACTTTCGTTTTCAGGGCCTATATTGGTACCCACAATGGATGGGAGCACCCCCACATCATCCTTACCCGCAGTCTGGCGATGTTCCAAGCGACAGATCTGCAGCAGCGGCTGGCCCGTTCTATCCGCATCTTGGCAAACCGCCTCTTAATGTACAACTACCCTCTGTCCATCAAAATTAAAAAAAAAATAATACTTTTGTTTTTTTTTGTCAACGTTATACAGTACCGCATATTTAGTAAGTTAATTGTTGGTTGAATGTAGAATTCAGGAAAAGGGGGCTATATTCGACCTGCAACGCACAATAATAGTAATAAGCATTCTCTAGCTCTTTATATAATTAAATTATTAAGAGGGAAAGCATACAACATCGGCATCCTAGGCATGTTAAGCATAAGCGTGCCGGACTGCTATAGGTACAAAACACACGCGCCACCTCTTCTCGTGGTCCCTTTTGCTAGAACGAACTTAATGGCAAAGGCACAATGGACCAGGACTGTCGAGGTCCTAAATGTATTGCACGAAATGTAGTCCTTGGGGTGAACTCACAAATACATTAATGTTTATTTTGAGTTACGAAAGATTGTTTGGTTTAAGTTCATATATTTTTGTTCTATCATATACATATTGTTTAGTTTTTTAAGATCTCTGTCGCATTGGATTCCATCTGTTATGACAGTGCATATGTGTAAATATTAATTAAATAAATAAAGAAGTACTTGAACACAAAGTTTGAGAGATTATGCAAAAAATTAACGCAATAGAATGGTTACTACTTGTAATGAAATAAAACGATATAGTTTACGATTTTTAATAACTTTTATTTATAGTATCGTAATAGTAATTTACACAAACATAACGAAGTCCGTCTATAGCACTAGAAAATAGATTTAAAGTAATACATACTACGGTTAAAAATAAAGCAAAAGAACAACAGAACGAAAAGCCCGTATGGTTTCATATGCGAATTAATTATTGAATTTAGATATTCAAATTTGGAACTGAATTCAAATTGCACACTTTTTTATTGCACTGAAAATAAAAAAAATCTAAATGGCCAAGAAAAATTGTCAAAACTATGACAGGTGAAACCAAGTTAAAAAGCACACATTTTTCATCTCTTAACCCCAAAAAGTTATATTCCGTATCACATTTTATATTACAACACACGTCCTTAATAATTTTATTTTATGTATATTATATAAACGTTTCTAATACTTATTGTAAAGCTTACGTTAAAATGTATAACATTATGTATATTTCCAACAAAACATAGAAATGCCTAATTTAAGGGTTTTAAAAAATTAAGTCTTAAGGAAAACTTAAAATAACAGTACAAAGCGGGAATGAAAAATTAGTAAATACATAAATTAGAAAATAATAGAGAAACTCTGTCCGTATATTTCACAAGTGACCAAAAAAGGGAATTTGTAAATGTTATAAAAACAATAACGAAAAATTAAAACTAAAAATAAACATAATACTGCCAGACTTATCACATTAAATTTAACTGTGCATTATGACGAGTAATTTTAAATAATTTCCAAAAGTATTAATCAATATAGATCAAATTTTAACACTTTTTTCATTTTAAGCTGATGGTGCCTTAGCTTACTGATTTGTTTCTTCTACAAAATACTCGACTGATATTAATGAAATTTTGTAAATATGCTCGGAACCTGTCAAGCCATACTTGTGTGTGATAAGTCTGGCGGCACCTATATAGTAAAATAAGTGGAAACAGAAGCGTATAGTTTAAAATAATCGTAACTGTAGACGTTATTTTTAACTAATTATAATCTGTATATGTACTTCTAAATCGAACGATCTTTACATACACACAAGCTTCTATATTCCGGACAATACTCGTCTGTGAACACCAACGTCATGTCAACTGTCAAATGATATTATGGAAATTTTATTTTATGTAAGTTCATTTGTGAGGTCAAGTAGGATATATTAACTGTTATATATATATTATTTTAATCATCTATAGAAGCGATCTTATGAAACACGGCAGCCAAGGTTATTTAGAAGTGTGTAAAACGCAAAAAGAACATCTACCATAATATGATGTTTCGGTTACACGGTCTACGATGACAGACATTTTTTGTTGGCGGCATCAACCATATTATCTATAGTCGTTGAAATACGCCCAGAGTCAGGCCTTCGGAGCCACTGGTTCATCAATTTCAAACTCCTTTTCCCAGCTTTCGTCGGAATTTGCGCTTGCGTCGTCCCGTATAACTTTGTCCTTATCACCGAAATAGTCTTCAACTAAATTCCCGCATTCGTCGGCTTTATTCTTTTTGGGTGATTTATTTTTATTATTATCTATGGTGATTCCGTTGTCTCTTGTTTTCTTGGGTGACTCGGCGTTATTGTTGGAGACGTCTTTCGGTGACGTTTGCTTTTGCTTTTTCGTTGTTATCTCTTTTTCGTATTCTTCTAGAAGTAAAATTTGCTGTTCCTCCGTTAGTTCGACGTCATTTGCAAAATCTTCTGTGGTGTGAATTAAATGAATTAAAGTTATGTCTATCAATTTATGCTGCCGTTAGGAGTATTGTCTATGCATCTATTTCTACTCTATTAACTTCGTCTATTTGTGTATAAAGACTACCTACTTACCATCTTCCCAGGTGACGTTGTCTATGTCGGGGGTTTCGGAAGTTATACCAGAGAGTACTTTTTTAGGACTCCTGCAATGAATTACAAATCGTTTTTAGATTAAAAATAATTTACGACATGGGCAGGACTTAAACCGCCATCAACAACGTTCCGAGCTGTTGCTATAACCAATTGAGCTACAATGTCCTACACGTCATCGTCTTTTTTAAAATTTAATAAAGGTAACTTCAACACTTGCGTATTAAGCTTCAATGTCTTATGCTTTGCAACCTTAGAAAATCATTGAAGATGAAGAAAATCATTGAAGATGAAATTACATGTTTAACGTTTGAAAACTTTAATATCTTTCAAATGTATAGCACAAGACAGGGCATTATATAAATCTTGCAATGAAGTAAAGTATATCAACTAAATTAAAAACGGCGAGTTGAATAAAAATTAACCAACAACCTTATTTAAGAACTTGGCAGGCCAGCGCTACTCATTAGTGAAACTTTGGGACTTTTTACAAATCCGGGTTTCTCTACACACTGTATATTTATTATTATAGATGGCGTTACACCTACGTCTGTATAGGTTCCGGTTGGGGAAGATGGGCTAAGACGGGATCGTCGCTAGGGGCCGTCTCCGCTTGTGGTTGTTTGCGTGACGCGGCCGCTAAGCGATCTTGTAACAAAGCCACACGGAAAAGGTATCTGAAGATGAGAAAACGATATTTCAGGCTTGTTTGAAAATTAAATATAACGATTACCTTGAATCACTTATTAGAAAAATACAATGTTAATACAAAATACAATAAAAATCTAGATCAAGGAAACACGTTAAATTGTTTACTTGATCTAGATTTTTATAAATTGGCAACAAAATAATGCTAAATATTCAGCGAAACATATTGAGTATAATAATATCATAATAATTATATTTTATCATAAAGTATGTATACATAAAGCTTATATATATATAAGCATTTCAAAATATACAATAGTCAGTAACTGCTATTATTTTTCACTTGAATAATTGAAGCAAATCAATCTTAAATAAAGCAGACTAAAATAGACTCATTCACCTTTCCCAAAATTCTTCGTGTGAAGCAGCATCAGGTACGAGTTTTTCATACTGTGCTTTTAGTATGGGGCTGTTCTCTAGTCGTTTTACAGCTGCCATCGGTGTAATGACCTCTTCGCTTTCCAAACTCTCACGCCATGCCTCAAAATGGGGGCTGTCAGCTGGCACTATGTACGTTGCGTCTACTCGCTGGAGGGATTCTAGTTCTTTCTGTATAAAAAATATTTTTTTTTTATTACAATTAAATAATAAATAAAAAAAAAACATTTTTTTCTATAATTTCAAACGAGCCATACTTCTTAACGCCTAATATTTTCATATAAGCGTTAGTGACGTTTAAATGAAATTTTCCATATTTGTACTTACTTACTATCTACATTACTTACCTTGTAAGTAGAGAGCATAGTAGTATCCCCAGATGACAGGATAACTTCTGTGTCGTCTTCGTCATCTGGTTCCGGATTCAATACTGTGCTTACTTGACCTGTAAGGTTAGTCCATTTACTCGCGGTGGAAAAACAATCGACTATTTAAATAACGAACACAAATATTCGATTTTTAAATACCATCTTCTGTTGTACACACACACACACATATATATATATATATATATATATATATATATAATGATTTCCATATTTGATGACTGATGATAAATAACAATTGATTCCTATCAATCATATTAATTTATCAGTCATTTACACAAGATTATATAAAACCTGTGATTATAAACCCTTTGCACTATTTAGTTTACTTACCAATAAAAGTACTAAAGCTTTTCTTCATTGCATTAGCTGGCGATTCTGGTTCATCCAGCTGATAAAAAAAAACCACTGTTATCATCACCTTTTATTGTTATCATTAAATCTATTTGTAAATATGAAAGGGTAATTGTTTGAATTCTATATAGAATCCACTAAGATAAAGGTGCTATATATGATGTTGAACCTTTGTGAATGATTTCCCCTGCTTTGGAAACTACCATGTTATTATTGTGTTGGTAAACAACATATATATATTTAGCTCATGCTAATGTTGTGCCTAGAAGTTATCTAATAACGTTGATCTTCTTAGTTTATTATTTAGGTTACTTTTTGTAGAGTTTAGATAAAAGATGTTAAGAAAATAACTTGTATTAGTATTTGTAACCTTTAAAGTTTTTCCAATGACCGTCGATGTAGAATTGAAGACATGGCTTGCTTCACTCTTGACCGCCGAACCAATTTCATCCAAATCTTTCTTCACCATGGAGTATACTTCAGCAGACTGAAATGTTAATGCAAAAGCTATTTAAAAATGTTAAAATTATTATTTTTTTTATAAATATCAGTCAGGTGGTGAAAAATTGATGCCTTTTGCCGCATATAGGGGCATGGCTTATTTTATATTATGTTTACTGATATTTGTACAGATAAGTTCTAAGTGTAGTAATGAAAAAAATATTATATGTTATCTGATTTATAAACTGTATTTTATATATTAAAAAGGAAAATTAAAGCAGTAATAAAAAAAATATTTTTTTTAATAAACCAAACTTACTAACTTTAACTTTAGTGACTAAAATTGTAATTTAAAAAAATTTATACAGTATACAAAATAATAGCTCAGGCAAAGATATTTCAAATTTGTGATAATATTTGAGATAAGAATCACAGTATGTGGTATCTGATAAGGTCAATTATATTATTTGTCAGATGAATTGTTTGTGTTCTACATTCTCAACTGTTGAACCAGTATTCTCTATTCAGTAAGAATGTAACACTAATTGTGCACAGAATAAATAAGACATTGATAAAAAGAACAAAATTACACTTAGACTACATACTACATATGTTCTTTTATAATTGTATAAATCTTTAGACATTATCATTGATCAAAAAGATGACTGTACACATATCACTTTTTATTTAAGGATTAAATAATTTAGAACAATGAAAAGAATGGAAAACATTGATAGACACACAAAGACATACCTTGCTCTTGGCTGATGTCAGCCAGGAGTCCCACCAATTACCAGATGGCTTCTCTTCCTGTTTACCAGTTGCATCACTTGGATTTTCATTAGATCTACAGTTTTAACAAAGAAATAAAAGTGAAATAAAGTTTTAACAAACAACTTTTTTATACTGACACACAAAGAAAGAGGTTTTTACTTTATAAAATATTTACAAATTTTTAAAAAAAGTATTTAAAACTTGTACTTTGAATTGTTTGATATATATTTTTTATAACAAATTACTTATTTATGTTGCTATTTGTCTCATGGTAAAGCAATTCTATGCTGACACTGTTGTAAGTGTTCATACTCTAACAGGTTAACAACAGTTATTAAATATCTTACTTCCTTGTCCAGACAAAATTACATGTAAGTATTGGGACTGTCTACTTAAAATAAGGTCATGATAGTGAATTTAACTTCAGTACTATATTAACTCATAGTATTTTTAAAGCAACAATAATACACAGTTTGACCTAAACAATTAAAAAACTGCGCATATTCCTACTATATTGCAACATAAATTCGATTCGATTCGCATAAATTACTGTAAACAGTGATTATTTATTTATTTATGTAATTGACCAACGTGTTGATAAACAAAGATGCTGTTACTTACTTTTCAGCCATTGCACCTAATTTTCACAGATTATTTTTTCAAATAAAAAACATGGATTTATACCGTTAAATGAAATTGTTTTTGTTATTAATTACAAAGAATTTGGAAATAATTTTGACATAGTTTTGTTTGAATTGACATTAACTTTGTTCTATTTTTATGTTCTTGCATAGCTGTCAAAGTCAAGCACTGTCAATCACCTTAGTACAGATTATGGTCATTTACTCTGTGACGTTAAAACGTTGCAATTTTATATATTTATTCTCGTAAAAGAAACGAGAAAGAAAGTGTTTATAACATATTATGTTTTTTTATAAACACACACATTGACCAAATCATTTTTTGTCCTAATTTCATACAATAACAAGCTTAATTTTAAAAGTCTTTTGTATCTAGATACTAATTTCATAACTTTCCATCACACAAGATTCAAGAAGAATAGTTGATTAATATAGTAAGATTATATGATTACATAATATCAAAGATTATAGGAACGAAAAACGACCTTAGGTGGCTGAACATTTAATTAATAAGTGCATAAAAGAAAATGCAACATAATAATTAAAGGCAGAGTTCGAGTCATTTACTCGGGGGTTTATAATTCAATAATATTCTGAGCACTTAATTTTTATAAATACCTACACAGGGTTAGGGCTTGGTAGATGCTTTATAGATATAGGAGCAATGTTTGTTTTATGTGTACAGTCGAGCTCGAAGTTTTATAATAAAATGATGAAATTAAAAAAAATTGTAACACTCTTGAATATTACGAATATCAGAAGCGTAAAGTCTAGTTAAGTGGTGCCATTATTAATACTTAGTTTTTATTGTTTACTACTTTTTTGTCTCACTATATATTTAAACGTTTATAATAGGGATAGCATTGTTTTAATATTTACATTGAAATTAAATTCGCCTGATGCTTTACAAAGAAATGTTGAAAAAGATAATTTAAATAGATTGTGAGTCATCGCGCGCATACTACTAAAAGTTTATATTTTAAATACTTGTTCTATAAAAACTTGTGCGCACCACTGTACTTGCATCCGAGCACTCCCACTGTTAGTTTTCGATCAGATTCGGCTTAGCTTTCTTCATGTTATTAATAAAAGCTTGCGAAATATATCTTAACGGCTTCGATAGGTACAGGGTGGCATTGCTTACGAGATTTTGGTACAGAGCTGTGATGAAATATGTTTTAGAAAAACATAGTTTATTATGTAAATGTAATTACTTAATTGTGAGTTACATTTTACTATATGCATTTAACTTTAGGAACTTTAATAAAAAAAGGGAAAGACTTCAAGAAGAATTAAGGATTGCAAATATGTACCACTCGACATGGAAGGGTTATGGAAAGTAGATATGTTACTTATTAAGTAACGAAGTGCTTATTTATCATATTACTTTAGTTTAGGTAAAAAAATAACAGCCTGTATAGATCAAGGGATAATCCTTATAACCTTTAATAATAATGTAGCGTGATCGACACGGGCGCATCTCAATCGGAGTTCGCGTCATCTTCGTGAGAGGCCACGCCTTACCGAGAGATGGCGCTCTACGATCCGAAATGCGCTGTGTGTGGGAATCACAATGCAAATTATGTAATAAAAGTTTTTATTTTGACGTTTCATTTGTTTAAGTATTTTAAAACAGATTATAGTGAAACGAAACGCTTTTTTTCGATTGGTAGTGGAGGTGTTGGTAGATTTCTGTTTAATAGTGTCCGTGCCTAATTTTTAAAAGTTTAGATCTACATTAAGAAATTAACCAATTGGTAACCTAAACTGTAAAAAATAGGACTTGACCCAAGTGACGTAATATTAAATCGGGCATACAGTAAATTACTGAAATCAGTAACTTATGGTCTATGACCGTAAATCAAACCAATGATGCTACTATGTTGATATTATAAGCCTGGAAGTGGTTGTTTTTTTGAGTTAGATAGACCATTTATCTAGGAAAGCTTTAAGCTATAAAACAGAGTTCCCCAAACTTTTTTTTTGTCGTATACTAGGTTTTTCCGTGTTGGGTAGGCCTACATACCTACTTGATGTTTATTTCCTGTAAATTTCTAACTGTAATTAAGTAGTGAAGTTTAGTGTTAAACACATACACACAAATGCACATGTATAATGTTTTTTTTGAGTTCATAGGTACTGTTTTAAATAATGTACCATATGTTTTGATATAAAAAAATAGTATGATGTAAGTAAATAGGTATTATCAGTGTATGTGTTGGTGGGATGCACTATCGTGGACCCCCATTTTTGTATTTTTTTTTCGCAGACGTAGACGCAGGTTGTCATAGACTCCTAGGGGTCGATATAGAGCACTTTGGGAATCACTGCTATAAAACATCACACTGCGGAGAAGAAGAAATATTCATCATTGTGGGTTTACGAAGTCGCGGCCATAGCTAGTTATAGAATATATTTAAAAACACAATATTTTTTTATGTTAAGCAAAAACTTAACACAAGTGAATATAGTGGCCGTTGTATATTATATATAAAACAACTGATGTGGTATTTTTTTTCTGAACTTCACTGACATTTTGTTACATAAAATATTTTTGTTAGAGTTACTGTAGAAACAAAATTGTGAATGTTTTTATCAATTCAGTGCAAGAAGGAATGATTGTTCATAGCGCTCGGCGATTGTTTTATTGATTGGTAGAAAATCGTGCCTCGTTAACTACGGTGGCCAGGCTTTACTGGAATACGATATATAGATATCAAAATTAATTCTAAGCAACTGATTCTGGTAAGAAAAACCTTTTAATCGTATAACGTTTTTTATAGTTATCTTTAGATTTTACACATTTATTCAGACACTTTTATTTTTAACCTTTTTTTTTAATGATTGGATATTTGTAAAACCACAGACTTAAGCGGAAACGTCATTAACCTTCACGGCTTTTTCATCTGTGGATTCACCCGGACGGAGTTTCTATTTTCCTACAACCCGTTTTATGTCCGGATGACGGACGGATACCACCATATAATATACAGATGAAAAGCCATCAAGTTTTATCACGTTCCGGTTTCAATCTCGAGATTTCCGAATATCCAATACCGCAATAGGCCGACAGCGCCATCTTTTCTATATGTTATATGGCTGGGGCGTTTTTCCTACCAGGAAGGGAACCCCATACTTGTCTGGCCTCCTTAAAAGATCAAAGTAATTATTCTTTTGTATCTAAACATCATTGTCACCCTACACGTGGGCGCAACGTGGGTACTCGTGCGCATCTACGATTCATATTAAAATTTGATCGTTTGCAACCTGCTCAATACGTTTATGAGCCCTAAGCCCTTATTACTGCTTAATTCCTCGCTATTTATTATACAATGAACAAATCGTGATTGCTGAGTCAGTTAAATGTTCGCCGATAGGACAATTTAATGATCTATAATAACCGATTTAATGGAATTATTTTTACCAATCTCTAAAGAGTATTTACTAGGATTGCGTCTTGTTAGGTAATATTTGATATTTATTTATATTCACGACAATTGCTTCCTAATAAAATAAGCGAAATTATTTACTGAAATGCAATACGGGGTTTTTGTTATTCTTCTTCGCCTTTGTTAATCAATTTTCAAACGTCCCAGCATGCCGTTAACACGAGTGGTACTAGGTTTGAATCTCGCGAAAACAAGAATCTGTTTCGGTCGGGCAGGGCACAGACTTCCGATCACCATTGGCCTGTAAATACAACAATATATTTACCACAATTTATTATTTATTTTTAGGCTTATATAGACTTTATCTTGGTGCATCCTCAGTAAAGTCTTAACAATAATGATACAAAATCGATAAACTAAAGTTGCGTTACGGAAATTCACATTATTTATTCATTTATGCGGAGAAAATATTCTATACTATAAATAAAATCAAGTTTCTGTATTACCAGGAGAGCAGGAGCGAGGAGGCAGTGGCGGTGGCCGCAAAGAATGTCGCCGGTGGATTTATGCGAGCGCGCGCATTCGATGACATGTGGACAGCGGCCGAGCGGCCACTACTCTACGCGTTATGTGCGCCTGGTACTCTTAGGTATTTCGTATCTCGATTCTTGGCGATTGTATGTATGTATTATGCTTTTTAGCTATACGTTATTTTAATAAAATTATGTATATTTTTTTGTTTAATTTTAAGTTTAGTTTACTTTAAGGTATTGTTAAAACTTTACTTATCCTTCTCAGTTACCCTCTAAATTGAATTAACTGGGTAAGTTTTTAAATTGCTTATCTGATATATTAAATTGTGACTAATAAGACTAATGTGTTATTTACAACAAGCGAGTGACCTATTAATTTCCTTATTAGTCTCATAGTATGCTTAGTGCGTTCTTTCGAACGAAGAAGACCACAAAAATATGGCCGTTTTTTTACTTTTTTTTTAATAATATTTTATGGCCTGGAACCGTTTTTTTACTATAGAGAACCATAGAGTAAAGTTGTTGCCACAGATAACACACCAAACGACCAAAATTTTTGTGATCTTTCTATTACAGTTAACATTTCTTGCATCCCATCCTTATGTAAATGTCAGACCAAAGAAATTTTAGTCTGTGCGTTTACGTAAATTCATTTTTGGAGTCTAATTAATTTTAGCATGATATTGTGGTTTTTACTAAGTGAATTTGAGGCAGTTCATTAGTTTAATATATAATCCAGTGTCTCAAAGTGTTTTAGGTAAGTAAACCTTGTGTTTTTTTCAAAAAATGCCAAATTAGAAAAAATACACTATAGATGTCTTAAGTAATAATAGTATTGACACAACGTAAAAGTAATATTCAAATTACGTATGGATTAGATCAAAATGGCCTCTTCGCGCCAGATTTCGGCCCAACGATACAAATTTCAATTTCCTGCTCACTTATCACAACTGTCATCTAAATTTTGACAAATAAGTTCATTTTGACGAGTCGGTCGGTTAGCGCGTCACATTTATCACTGCCTGGAAGGTAGAAAAAATATTATTATCGTATTTTTTAATTGGTACTTTAAATCACAATACAAGTTAAGTTTAATCTAAGTTAGGTTTAACGCTCGAGTCTCTACACTACCGCCGCATTAGTGTGGGTTAATTCCACTGAACTAGTTTAGTTGTTGGTTAAAGCTTAACTGATTATTACTATGAGATTTAAACATTATTGTATTATTATATTTGTCTTAATTATAGCTATATTATAATAGGAACGCTGACGATGCCGGTTCAAGTCCTGCCCGAGTCTAAAAATTTTTGCAATTTATTTTTGATTTTTAAATTGATTAGAAATTAATTGTGTAAAATCCCTGGCACAGACTTGATTCTCCATGGGCGAGACACATTTATGAGTCTGTCACAGATCATGTCCGCATACGCTTTAATAATTATAATACAATGCTTTACATAACTAGTCTTCTGTACGATGCTAGTCAGAAACTATTTTTTAACTTCATTGGCATTTGAACCTAAAACCTTTGGTAGTTAACACTATAGACAATGCGTTTTACTATTGTGATAGAGTGACGGCACTGACTTATAGTTTCAGGTTGATTTATACACTTTACAGACGATTAACTAGATTTTAGCAAGTTAACTTTTAACACCGGTTAACACGTCGAAACAACACGACCCACTAAGTAGTTGCGTTTAATTAGCGCTATCTAATTATTTACGCGGTCGCTCACGGCACCGACCTCCATGCTTGATTTATAAAGGAATCTTACCAACCCATGAAATCGCCGTATTTGGTCAACTTAGCGTTTCGATCGTGATTTTAAGCGGATATCGATATCTAATAGAATAAGCCGCTGATAAAGTTTTATAGTAAGCAAAGTCCTTCTTTTTGACTTTTGATGTTACTATACACTTACTGCTAAGAAGGAAGGATGGAAGCTATATTAATAAATAGTAACAGTATATAATAAATTTAACAAAACGAGACATTAGATTTTATATGGCTGGAGTGTTTCACTTCTCACCAACTGCCCATACTTGAGAGTCCTCCCCTATCATCTCTGGGCTTCTCGTATCTTTGCGCCTGCGCATACGCACGAACGTTAGAACCAAATCAAAACAATTGTTACAGTCATATATTTTTTGTTGGACTTATTATATCATAAGAACAATTAACGTCACCTCCGTGGGTAAATCTCTAAACTCTTTAGGCACGAGACATCCAGAGGAAACAACTACTTGCTCGGATTACTTAGTTGCCATCATTCAGCAGAAGATTAGAGTACACATAATTTAAAAGTCTCTTTTTTTGAGTATACAAGTATAGGTATGCTAAAGAATTTAACTTATTTATCATAACATTGCAAGATAATGTTTCTTTATTCACCTTCCTTTGTGTAAACATAACCGAAATATCTGACCTAATCTGTCCTTCATGCGGAAAAACCTCTTAATATTTACAACTTAACCATTTATTTCGAATTCCTATCAATGTATTCGCATCGTTTCGTTACGGGAACTGGCAACCCACAAAGATGCGATCGATGCTCACTTATTTGTAATTAGTTTGCTTAAACAAGAATCGGATAAGTTAACTTTATTTGTTTTCTGATAGCATTTGGAGAGAGGTCCACTGAGAAGATAATGTTTAAGACTTAAGATGTTATTGTTTAAAAATGTATGTGACCACAGCTGCTGTATATGTAAAGTAATTTTATATTTATACAAATACTAGCTGTAACAGTGACTACGTCCGCGTAGAATAGTTATTTTGGGTATCCAAATTTGGATTCGCAAATCTTTATAAATTTAAGCTGTTATGCACAACGTCATTGCAACCCGTCGTTCTTGCAAGTTCATCTTAAAAGATAGACATATACGCGGACTGTTTTTTAGATAATTGAAACAGGAATCATTTTTTCATACATATTTTTAATGTTTTATGTAATAAAAAGAGTTATTTTTTTGTTGAATCGTAATTTTACATGTTTATAAATATTCCGCATGAGTAATGACTCATGCGGAATATCATAAGCGTTATGGTGGAACCCGAATACGTTGTGCGGAAGGTTTTGCTAGGTTCACATTCCGAAGATACATACTAAATTGGTTTTGATAGTTGATTTACTTAGCGGCAAAAATTTAATTAAACTTATGCGCCCAAGTCTGATTAAGTTTTTGCCGGTAAGTAAAATCTATTAGTTCTATAAACACAAAATTGTGTCCACCCCACATATGAGGAAATGGAAGATATTTTGAATACATCTTTTCGCCAATTTTTGGTACCGTTTTAGTAGTGTTAACTATATAGCGAATATTTGAAAGGATTTCATGAATTTAAATTATGTATTGCCAAAATCTCAGAAACATAAATACCGGTAGGGCAGAGCTGGAGACGGAAGTGTATCTCTGCCCCACTTATGGGAAATGGGATTTAATTTAATAATCTCTAAGAGCTCCTGTATATCTATCGGCTGTGTTGTAGATATCGGCTAATATGGTATTATACGCAAAGTATATGGAAGCGTGTCGTGGACAGGCGTGTGCTACCGGCGACGATACTAAATAACACTGTCACGATGCCCTTTGCAGACACCGCCGTGATGGTGTTATGCAACAAGGCACCATCGCTTCAATTGTCTTGTTTTTATGGTCGTTTAGGAAGCTGAAAACTAGTATCGGGGAAGTTATTTAATGTATTATACATTGAAGTCCAATATACCGTTAATTCAACTTCTATTATTTATTTATTCAAAACCAACATGAGATCCACTTACAATAATATTTTAAAAATATCTCATACGATCGATAAGATATCGATTATATAAGATATAATACATTATTGTCTTTATGAAATCGCTCAGCCCGCAATTACAATGTCAATTTTATAATTCACCCTAAAATGAATGGGACTCCAACCAATGCAATACAAACAAACAATACTATTTATATACACGATTGCTAATCAAGCTGTACTCTTCACTTCAACTTTAATAACGTTTAAGACGACCCGATCAAGATCTATGTATTCAGTATTAAGAATTGCTTAGTAAAGTTATTAACTAATTTGACAAATATAAAAAAGAATTATAACGACAATATTACATGACTAAATACAGATAAAATAAAATATTATAGTAGCCTCTGAAAAAAGAGTACTCTGCTACGTTGGGATTAATCCCAAGTCCTAACACTGGTATTCTGTGGCCCCATCAGAAGCCAAGGAACAAGCGATACAGTTTGACATTTCCTCTATTAGGTATCTTTATATAAACGTAGCAGCCCCTCGCATAACACCGTCCAGCGCCCGCGCACCTTTTTGTACAATTCCTTCGTATTTCGGCTGCGCTTGGCCATTTATCGCTATCATCTGAGATACGGCTATCCACAGCATCTTTATGCTCTTGTATCAGATAGCGCGGCTCGCAAAAGCGTCTGATTAGCCGATAGCTATTGATCGCCCTCCGTTCATATCACTTAATGATATAGTTATGTCTCGTTAATTTGAGTGGAGATGTGACTAGAGTTGGTGAGATAGAGTTGGTGATAAAGTACTGATAGACAAGAAAAAGAATCGCAGCATTGTAAGAATAACTAAAAATGGTGAGGGTTCCAGTCCAATAGTCTACTAGGTCTAAGCCCTACAAGGACTGTTATATAGTTTCAAGTTAAGCCAGTCGTGGAAATTGTTAGAACAAAATTTTGACTTCCGGATCTTTTGTAGCTGGAAGGTGGACCATGAAGGCCACGCAAAAAAGGCCCCAAAGGCAAAAGTTTGGACTAATAGATCTATGGTCAGGAAACTATTGGATTTAGCTACATAAATGAATTTATAGGTCATGGCTGAGGTAAGCGACGCGAGAGGCATTTCAATTATTACATAATAAGTAAAAATTATATGGTAAGAATTATATATGTTTTAAAATATGAAATATTCTTCATAGAAAATTTGTATATATGTATATTCAATACTGACTAACTCTTTGCCGATGATGGTTCGGGAACCATCTTGCAAATCCGACTCGCAATTTATTTACCTAAAAATTAAATTGATTGGCTAGTAAATTTGAAACATACATTTCCAAAAATGTTTTCAAATTTACACTTAAAAGACAGGCGTTAAACTTTAAATTTGGGACCAATCCCGACTTTAAAGTTTAACGCATCATTACAGAATCTTGTGAAAGCTACTATCTCTAATTTCTCGTACAAAACAAGTGATATTCAATTTAAAGCATTTATCCTCAGGTGGTCGACACTGTCAGGTTGTGTCGAGAGAATCAGACATCGCGGCTCGATACCTCGTCAATCTACCGAAGACGCGATCGATCCAATTAATTAGATTTGAGATAGCGGGATTTAGATAGTGTATTTTGGATTGTTACTGCGATGTATTGGGGTATCTTGTTTTGCTTTGCGGTCCTTTTAACATTGAATTTATAACTTCTTACAAATTAACCAGCTTCGTGATGTAACGCGTTACGGGCAAAGCACGTTGCCTTTCTTGACCGTCATTTGAAATGGTGATCTCGAAATATGTTCTTGTATTATGACGCTTAAGAACCACTTTGTTTAGATGGCATTTTGTTTGTTTTTTAACGCCGTTGCCAAAAAATTGCACGATTATTTATTAGTTGAAACTACTGTAGCCAAAATATTCAGGAAAAGGGTTTTTAATAGATAATGTGAAAATTTTAACACGAAAAAGAGTTTTTCTTTAAAACTTAGTATATAAATAAATAGTTCACGTACAAAGTTTCGTTTATGTAAAATAGATTTAATTTTTCGCTCATGTATCATAAAAATTCAAACATATTAAACAAATAATAAGTGTAATGTTTTATGTTAGAAGCTAAGTAAAAAGTTCTAAAACACGCCGTACATTGTAAATCGTTATCAGAAGAAGCTAAATAAAAACACGAATAGTATGTATAAGGGCGTAATGCTTGTTCCCAGCGGGTGTCCACAAAGTGTTGTCAGTTTGCAACGACTGACATGCTACTGCAAGAATATATTGCTTCATACGCAAAGTATTTTTACTATATTTTGATAAACTCTTTATGTGATAGAGGAGGACAAACAATACCCCAAAAGTGATATACCCCAGCCATATAACATTCTAACAAGATGCGCTGTCGGCCTATTTCGGCTTTTGATATGCGGATATCCACAAACGATGGGAGATTAAACTTTATGGCAATTTCACCTGTGGCCGTGGTCCTGGTGGATTTTCGATATTCCTACCACCCACTCCTAACTTTCTTATGAGTTGATATAATATCGACGAGATAAATTTAAAATGTTTAACAATTGTATTGATGGAGTAATAAAGAATGAGTTCTTATCTAGAGCAACAGCACGGAACGCTGTTGATGTCGGTTCAAGTCGCGCCCTTGTAGATTTTTTTAATCTATTAAGATTCAAAAAATCTATTAAGATTTTTTATTTAAGTGAAAAATTTCAAACACTGACAGATAAGAACCCTTTCTTTGTCATTCAGGGGATGAGTTCTTAGAAATTTAGATTTTACTGTATAGAACTATAGAACTTCACACACATCACCACATTTTGAAGTATGTTCAAAATGTAGTGATCAAAAATTGGTAAAATTCTGTAAAATGTAGTGGAACCGTTTCCGGTATGGTATAGTCCTTGATTTTGAAAATAGAAGTAAATGTTAAGAGTCTTTAGTTTTTCACTAAAGTGACGTAAGTGCTAGGTTCACTTTACCTACGTGAATAAATGTTTTTTGACGTTGACTTATTAATTTCTGCGTCCGTGTTTATCGATTTTATTAAAGTCAAACAGAGGTTCACCACTGCGTCGTGGTGGCTTATAAAAAGCTTAGGGCTAGCTAAATAAGTGTAGTATTAATAAATTAGATGGTCCTCATTTAGTTTCGATATCGCAAGCAGATATCTCCGATAACGCGCGCGATAAATATAATATTGACGCGTACACCCGCGGGCATAAAGTTACTTTTTAACGTATGAAGATTTACTTTAAATATTTTCGTGTGAAGGGTATTAATTTCATTGAATATACGCACCCAACTGTGCAAATATCTAACAACATGAGTTTTATTAAATTGTGTGTTGAATAATATCACAAAACGCCTACTAAATAACCTAAAGAAATTATAAGTAAGGTGACTTTTTTAATGTTGCAATTCAACGACAACACTTTTAAGAATAAAATGTTAACCAAAAAATGTTTCCAGAATATTTTTTTTGTCGCCAAATTATAAAATTGCAAGTTTTTGTTTGCATAGCACACTATATTTAGTTTGGTTTCATTTCCAATGTCACTGGTTTAAAAATGAATTTTGTTTTATATAATAGTATTATGTATCTCAAAATAAACTCCTTGCCCTTATTCACTATTGTAGGACATACAAGAGAGACACGTAAGTATAATTTAAAATAAAAGAATTCAACGGTTTCAAACGTGAAATATATTAGTTAACTCAATTTGATTTGAATTTAACTACAATATTTCGTGTTTTATTCAAACGTGCCGTAAACTACCGATAATACTTAGTAAGAATAATCTTACCAACAAAAAGGAACTATCAAACTTTTATATTTAGTACTAGGTAGTCGACTGTAATTTATGTCGAGTTAATATTAGTTAGAGTGCGGTATTTGCGAGACCATTAACATAAGAGGGATGCCCAGAGCGCTTACGAGAGGTTTTGAGCTCAAACCCTGCCCGTCGTTAGGGTGACCATGTTTTAAATAATCATATAGGTTAAATAAAAGTAGAATACAGCTTAATAATAGCTGAGTGTGCTATATACGTGAGCTATAGTATATGAAAGAGGAGGGCAGACAATCTTGGGGTTCACGCGATGAAAGGTGAAATAGCCCAGCCACATAACATCTAACACGATGCGCTGTCGACCTTTTTTTGCTTTGAAATGGAAATACGATTAAAGTTGACGGATCATTTGTGGCTGGACGGAATGTTTGATATTCCAATCACCGATTTAGAATTCAGATTTCCTGACGGAATTCCACATGTTTCAGAAAAATTATAAATATGTTGAAAACATACTGTCTTTAGTTTATGCGAGTAGTACACATTTAAATAAAACACTTTAACGGTTTAAAACGCGATACTCGACACACGTCTCTCCGTGACCACGGCTGCTGCAAAGCATCCGAAACGTCGGGCCGAAGTTAAAAATCATTTCCAAATAAGTTTAACTAATATATCGCGTTTTAAACCGTTAAAGTGTTTTATTTAAATACTGAAAACATGTTAAACCCGGTGGAGATCGAACTCACGGCTTATTGATTATTAGACATACATTCATTCACTCATTCTTCCACTGTCTGTCTACCACTGTTACACTTAATATTACATTGCATAGATGTATAAAACACCGCACCGACCATGATAAGTGTGTTCATCAATCATTGGCAAACACAAAAAGTTTTGCCAAATTATAACATAAAATTTTACTTTTATAAAATACAATTATTATATTAAACAATTAATTACCGAAAGTATTTTATAAGTAATTCACGAAAGACATTATAAAATCACTTGAGTCGAAAAACAATTGTGACCGTTGTGTTCACGAAAATTATATGTACTAGTAGATTAAAAAACTTAACATTTAAAGTTTTATTTAAATAATACAATTTGTTAATGTAAAAAAATATTATATTATCTTTCTCTAATACGTGGTTAACCTACACAGAAATAGTTGAGGCCTGGATCAAAGCAATTAGCGTATTGATAGCCAGTGTACATTAATTGGCATGAGATATTCGGAAAATTTCACTTTTATACCGGCTCGAGTGAGCGCGGCGTGAAATTACGTGTGAATTGTAAAACTACATAATATTAAGATAAAAAGTTATAGTGAAACTGCAAGCTGAGTTATTTTGTCGTCTAATAATAATCTTTACAATAGTAAGAAACATGTTTAATGGTTTAAAACGTGAAGTTTATAAGTTTTATATCGTTTTCCGCCGTTTCGTACAATCTAAGCTAATCTATACTAATATAATAAGGCTTAAGAGTTGGTGTGTTTGAATGCGCTCTGTAACAACTAGTTCGAATTTAAGAAATATTTTTATTTTATTTAGGAAATAAAAGAAGCGAAAAACATAGGTAAATGTAAAAAACGGGGACAATTATTATTTTCGTGTTCCTTTTAGTATTTAGTATTTCACTTGCGTGCGGGGCGAAATTTGTTGAAGATACCCAAATAATATGTGTGGTTGTAGGTTAACTCACACGAACCGTTTTTATTAGAATTAAACTTCGTCGAAATATTTCATTTGGCAAAAGAACGATTGCTAGATCTAGCTAGTAACGTACAAAAAATTGTGAAAATCTGTTTGTCTGTAAATGTTTCAGGTCACATTTACAGACATCCATTTCCCTGATTTAATTAACGGGCAAGCCGACGAATACGAAACATTTTAGTGTTTTGCATGAACTACGCCAAGATGCTCCCCATGCCCCTATGTTGGGAAATTTGAATTTACTTTTTATTCTGTAAAAGCTATAAGCATGACGCGTTAGTTCTATCCATGATTATTTTGAAGGAGTCAGAGGGTGGTCTCGCTTTTATGAATTCATAATTTATTTATGAGCTAGACGAGTGTCGATAATGAATATTTATACAACGGCTGACTGACGGACGTCGTGTTTTTGACTTTTTTAAGATTCGTAAAATGACGCATACGTTTATCGCTAGAGTAACATATGAATAATAAACACTGGCACTTTCTTTTGAAAAATTGAGCTTCGTTCGGGTGGACACATTTTTGTGTCTGTTACATTTAATTATATTGTTTTGATCAAGTTTTAGTGCGATAAGTGTGTCTGTCTATTCAAGCTTATGAATGATTAGCTGTGCCGGCAACTACGTCCGCGTGGAATAGTTATTTTGGGCAATATATAATTTTTTGCAAAGAACCTCCTCATTATTATAAATGATAGCTGTTATCCTATGCCGTCCGCGTCGTTCTTGCGAGTCTTTAATGAAGAAATTTTTTAGATAATTTAAAGGGGGATAATTCTAGAACCGTTTTTGCAGCGTACGCAACGGAAGACCGGGCTGAAAAATTTCCCCCGTTTTCACTGATTCTTCGTACGTGTTGGCCCAGCGTGATGTTTATAGCCTTCTCTATCTCGAAAATATTTTTTCAAGATTCTAGTTCTTCAAATTAGCGTCTTCAAATAAACAATCCAACTTTATAATATTAGTATAGATTCATTATTGAGCTATTGTTTAAGTTGTTTAAGAGCCTTTCTTTAAACCTTTGTCGGTTAATAAATATAATAAAAAACATGTATATATATATTAAGATGTGAAGTTAT